TATTTACATAGCTCATGGGAAAAAACCTCAGCTTTCCAATGAAAATAAAAAAAAAAAAAAAAAAAATACCCGAAGGGGTGAAAATCGAAAAATAAGGGTTGATTTTGACAAAAAAGGGGTTAAAATTTTTTTTTTTTAAATTTCGTATACATTTTTGAAAAGTACGTGAAAAATGCAATAAAATTCATTATAGATAAATTAAAATCCATTAACTTTTGTCATAGTTAAACGGATTTGAAAATGACAATGTTACCCTTAACGTCAAAACTTCAACCCCCTCTACTTTCTACAAATATTTTTTTAATTAATTTATATTTTAGGGATTTATTACTATCATATAGGACAACAATTTACCAAAGTATGAAGCCAATCCCAGAACATTGACTTTTTGGGCTGGGGCGATTGAAAAAGAATCTCTCATATATAAATGCCCTTTTCGATTGGACATATAAGACTACAAAATACTAAATATTAATCATATTATAGATTGAAAAAAAACATTTAACCGTTTCCCTAATATTTTTTTTTCTCCAAAGACAGATTTGTAAACATCAACTTTCTAGACTCGCGATGGTTTCGCTTAAAACGTGTAAATAATTACAGTCCCATAGATTAGGAAAATAAATTTCTCGAGTTCCATTATAGACGGCTTAAAATGACTTTAGCTTCAGGTATTAAGTACATCAATGTGTAATATCTATCTAATCATTGTATTTATCATTTTCCAACGTGTGAAAAACAGGATTGTTTTTTTTATTCTAAGTATTCTGCGCAGGTATTCATTATATTTAGGCCAAAGAGGTTGACAAAAGAAAATCCAGAAGTCAAATTCAAATTTATATAAATTTTTTTTTTTAATTTTTAAACAAACGAAAAACTAAATCATTTTTTATTACACTCTCTATTAAATTATTATTTTTATTTTTTAATAGTTTTCATGTCAGCGGACATTAATTATAATTTTATATTTTTTTATTTCTTCCTTTTTGGAATTTTAGAATTTTTCTTGTTTTTAGTCATTTTGTATAATTTGTTTCCCTTTTTTTTAATTCTTCTTTTTTTAATATTAAAACTTTTTTTTTATTTGTAATTGTAATTTATTTCTTCGATTTTATTTATTTATTTATTTATTTACAATTTTATCCCCTATTTTCCATTTTATTTTTTATTTTATATTACTACTACATTTTTTAATTTTTTCATGTCAGCGGTTATTTACAATTTTCTATTTTTTAATTCTTCTGTTTCTCATTATTTTAAGTATCCATTTTTTACAATTGTATTTTAATTTATTTCTTCGATTTTATCCCCTTTTTTGTCTCCTATTTCAATTTTTTTTTTTTTTTGTATTTCATTTCTTCTTTTGTGTATTACAATAATTTTTAAATTTTTCCTTGTCAGCGGAAATTATAATTTTCTTTTTTTTTATTTCTCTTCTTTTTGCAATTTTGTAAACATCTTTTTTCAATTTTATTATAAAATAAAAAAAAACTGTTGGTCACGTTTCTATTTTCTTATTTTTCTCATGAGAAAAAAAATTTTATTTTATAATAATTTAATTAATAATAATATTAATTTTATTTCCTCTTTTATTTTATATATTACAACTCTTTTTGAGAGATTTTTTTTTCATATCAGTCGACAATTTATCGTTTAATATTTTTTTGTTTCTATAAATTTTTTATTTTATTTTACTCTTCCTCTTATTTCCTGTTTTTCTGTATATTTGATCTTTTTCACATTTTTTAGTTTTTTTCTTTCTTTTTGCTTTTTCTTAATCCCTTCTGAGCTTCCTTATACAGAAGCAAAATCTCATCAAAGGAAGTTCAATCAAAAATTTACATTAATTTCGAGATTAATTTAATTCACTTTCATTTTTGTATTTTTTTCATTATTTTTTCGAAATATATGAATTCTAATACATGTCCTTGATAAGAGAAAAAAGTATGACAAATAGGGAAATTTGATCATATCGGTGATTTATTTACTATATATAAACATAGAAAATCCTGTTGTGTATTAAAATTGATCGTCTCTTAAGCCACGAGCCACAACCACATATTTCCTGCTCCACGATCACTAATTTCTAATTTTATACACTCCGTTTTCTCAAGATTCTAATAGATCAACTTTTTTTCCCCTCTTTTTCTTCTTCTTCTTCTTCATCATATAAAGAAACAAGAACTATACAAACGATAATAAGACCTCATTCATGATTATCACTTTGCTCACATTAAAATAATATATAATACATTTAACTTCATGAAGATAAACATTCTACATTTTTTTCACCTCAAACAAAAAGTAAAATTATTTATAAAATTGAAATGATACCTGTAAATTAAATATATTATATCAATATATATATATATGAGAATAATATCTAATTTTCCCTTACGAAGAATCTCTTAAATATATAATCAGCATTAATCAGAGTCCTTATGATAAATATCATCTCACGAAAGGAATGTTGCAAATGTGACTTTCGTGGAAGCACAGAAAACATTTATCAAAATAGTGATCATGCGTGTGTGCAAAAAAAAAAACTTTTGTACCCTCTGCGCTATTGAGACAATCTTATGCTAATTTGTCGGCATTCCAATACTGTCGTTACACGACAAGTGAAGGGATCAACAAGTACAAAAATTGTGTCGCATCTCCTGGTTTCTATAGTTTGTATATACATATATATGCTTGGATTGTATAAGAAGATTTATGTTATAGAGAACGACACAAAGATCGTTGACTAAAACGAGAAATTCAAATCGAATGTCCCAATATATTTGAAATATTTATTTCCTCCGCCAAACTGCTGTCAATATTGTATTCTTCATCATTCACGTTTGATCATTTGAAATAATATATCTTTTAGAGAAATAAATTTCTTGCTCCAAGTATAGCGCTTTTGAAATAACACGATAAAGATAAAGATAATAATTAATTATAATTAATTTTCATTTTGTCAAAATAATTTTTGGGACGTATGATTATGTTCTAAAAATCATTAGTTAGAATTTTCATTTTATGGAATTTTATTTGTCACAATTATTTTTTCGAATTAGTATTTTGCAGAATTTTCATCAAAACAATTTTCTATATTACAGAATTTTTATATAACCGAAAATTCACTTCACAGAATTTTTATTTGTTCGAATTTTTATTTGTCAGAATTTTTATTTGCTCGAATTTTCATTTAACATAATAGGCATTCTAAAAAATTTTATTGTATCACTGAGAAAAAAAATTTAGTGTTTGCAATAAAATTGTTTGATTAGGCAATTTTGGTTCTTGTAACCAAATTTTGGTTGGCTGAAACAAAGTCGTAGAGTTATCTCAACCAAACATTTGGTTAGGCCAACAAAATTATTTGGTTGAACATTTTTAAATTGCAACTAAAATTAGTTGTTAGTTTAAATCTCTCACAATGATGGGTAGTCCAGTGGTCAGAGCTCTCGATCTTCAGTTTTAAAACAGAGGTTCGATCCCAGGCGGAGATGAGATTTTTCAAAGTCCACAAATATTTCAATTGGATAAATATAAATTAAACGTTAAATTGGATAATAAATAAATAATGAAATAAATAAAAAAGATACAAATAAAAGAAATAAGGAAGAATAAAATTTGTAATTTTACAAAAAAAAAACTGTTTGTTTGATCAACCAAACATTTTTGTTGACCTAACAAAAAAAATTTGGTTGAGCTAACCAAACATTTTTCTTATGCTAACAAAAAACACTCAACCAAATTTTTTGGTTGACTCAAACAAATAGTTTGGTTGCTTAAATACCAACAAAATGTTTTTGTTGGCCCAACCAAATTTTGGTTGCTCTGACTAAACATTTTTCTCAGTGTACCTTTTGTTTAAAAGTCCCTTTTTTAATATGAAATCAAAATAAGTTTTTCAGGGTTTCCACGGATCAAGGAAGTCAGGGAATTTTATACTGGAAAAAAATCAAATTTCTAAAAATGCTACTAAAATTATAATTTTTGAAATTTTCAATTAAAACTTTTGCTTCTAAAAATTATTGTCATACATTTTTATATTATTGAATTTTAGTGAATTTTCAATTGAAAACTGTTTTAAATCATGTAATTTTCGAAGAATTTATTTTAAATTATTGAAAATCATTGATTTTGCAATTCGAGTTAATATATATTTTTTTAATAATTCAACTTTAAAAAATTTTTAAAACTCGTACAATCCGAGGCCTGTTATTGAAAACCTCTTGAAATATTTTCATTAGGGTCAGGGAAAAAATTTTAATTTTGACTGGAAATCAGGGAAATATGAGGGAAAAACAAAATAATATTTTTGTGTAAACCTCTTTTTTGTTGAATATATTTTGAATGTAACGAAGACTTAAATACATATTAATAATTTTGATTAAGAATTTATTTTTATTTAAAAATTTAAAAAATTGTTACTAAGTACCTTTCTTTGGAGTGCGCGACACATTTACTTGGAAATGTAAAAGAAAAAATAATAAAATAAAGTATAATTTGAAAATTAAAATTAAAAAAAAATAATAATAAAAAAATTTGCAGTAAAATAAAAACATTAAATTTTTAATCAGTTTTTAATTTTTAATCGCATTATGAAAATATTAAATTAAAGTATATTAATTTAATTTTTTGATAAAGAAAATTAAATATTTGCATCAATCGATATTTGTTTTTAGAAAATTAATGACATAACATATGTATGTGATGATAAACATGAGACTGGGTAATTTGATAAACAAAAAAAACAATTATCGGAAATACATTTATGCAGGATGAGAGAAACTCTCTAATTTGTTACATCCATCCGCTTGGACTACTTCCTTGAAGGACATCATATTTAAACTTTCACGTATTGATGATCCAATTTTATTATTGTAAAAAGAAAAAAAAAACTTTCACGTCTTTTGCATCAGTTGTGTTTATATTTAAATATTTTAAAAAAAAATACAAAAATATTTTAAAACTGAATTGACAAATTAAAAATTTTTTTTTTTCAGAATGCAACGCAGCCGGATTTATGAACAGATCAGGAATTATTGAGAGGGTGCCATATATTTATCTGCCCCAAAGAGGACAGATTATTTATCCCCAAGCGGAAATTCATTTCGAAGGTATTAGAAAAAAATTAATAGCTTACAAATATTTTTTTTTATAATAAAAAAAATTTATCAAATTTTATTGTTTAAACAAATTGTTCAAAAATTAATATTTTTTGTTTAAAAAAATAATTTTTATCAAAAAGTTTAAGGTCTTCTGCGTAAAAAACATTCGTAACACTTTTTATCTTTATTTTTATTAGGGAAAATGTTATAAGTAAAAAAATATTGAAAAAGTACCTTAAATATTTTTGAAAATTAAGAAAAATTAAAAAAATTTTTTACAATTTTAAATATTTTTCTACTTTTTCTATCAGATATATATATATATAAAAACAGTAAATTCAATATATATAAAATATTATAAATGAGTGAAAAAAAAAAAATGTTCGTAAAGTTGGTGTGTTTAGTACGAACAAGATGACTTCACTGTAATATTTGTCTGCGGAATAAATCAACAACCAGTTTCTTTAGAACTCTAAGATTGCATTACAGAATCCCTTTAATTCCCGGTTGTCAAAGCAAGCAGTAAACACATTAATGCACTTTACGAATCTGTGATTCTCGACACATTTTGAGAGATATAACTTTGATTTCACCCGCTGCATAAAAAAAAAATCTCTCCAAATATATTTTTGTGATACCAATACATGACAGCGACAAAAATTTATAAACCATATAAAATAAAATTTTTCATTTATATTCTATACCCAAGAAGGAATAACAAATACAGATCATTTTTTTTTTTTGAATGCACATTAACTTTTAATTGCACTTCGTTAAAAATTACACGAATTTATTTTTTCTATCGTTTTTTTCGTCGCTTTATGGATCACATTAATTTTATTTACGAAAAAAAAAAATTGGTATTTAGGTATTTAAATGTCGCCTTTTAGGCAAGATTTTAATGAAGTGATTTGAAGTTAATTAAATCATTTTTTTTTACATAATTAGTAAATTATATGGAGATAATAAAAAAATTATTTGAAAAAACAATTTTTTATTTTATTTTTATCACTCGGTAAAGGTTTTAAAGGAAATGGAAAATTTTTTAAAATTTTTTTATGCGAATTTTGTAATTAATAACAGAAAGTATTTGTTAAATTTTTCCAGGGGTTAAATTTCCAGTTTGTGGAATCACAGGAGCACAACAATTAGGAAAAGGCGGTTGGATCGAATTGAGAAATTTATCAAGTTCAGAACCGCCGTTTAGACTCTTTCGAGATGAAGGAAGAACTTTTCTACAGGTTTCATTTTCATTTTTATTAATGTATTTTATTTGACTATTTTCCGAGTCAAGTAAGAAAAAAAATTAATTTTCACTCAAAAAATAATAACTAATTTTTTGCTTAAAAAATTTATTTTTCAACAAATTATTGATCAAGAAACATTGTAGAAACTAATTTAGATCAAAAATAATAATAATAATAATAATTTGCATTGAAAAATAGTTTTTCTTCTCAATCGTTGATCATAAACGTTGTAAACTTCACACATGACGTGAAAACTTTTTATTTAGTACTTCAAAGTAAAATAATAAGAGAAAAAAAAGAAAAATATATTATTTAATAACTTTTATTGAATTCGTAAAAATTTATTGACTTTCGCACTTTTTTGAAATAACTTTTTCACATTTTTAAAGTGAAAAAAAAGACAATAAATTGTAACAAAACTCTTAATTAGCAGACGCAATATAAAAAAAAAAAAAAAAAAATAGTCACTGAAAATAATTGGCACAACATTGCGACAAATAAATTAAATTTCACACAAATCGGAAATGGAAATTTTCGCATTAAAATTTATAGTTGCTATCGATATACATATTAATGTAAAATCATAGCATATTTCAATATTTAATATACGTAAAATTTAATTACAGTGGATTGGAGAAACTGGACTGAGAGAAGCAACTGAGGGCAAATTAGTTGTTGCAAAACTGATCTGTAGAGACGCCTTTCCAAGATCCACACATCCTCAAGTTTTTACACCATGTGTGGCATTCCGCGTGTCAGGATCTTCCTCGAAAAACAGTGAGAAACTCCCTATTAAATTTAATACATCATTCGTATTTTCTGGAAAATCATTTTCCCTTTAAAAACAATGCCAATCACACATATATAGAAAATGTCTAATTATATGAAAGTATATATATAATAATATAAAAAAACACATTTTTTTTTTACAATAAAAAAAAATTATATGGAAAATTTTTTTTTTCTTTAATTATGGAGTAAGTTTTCAAAAATTCGAATCGGTGTCAAAATTACACAAAAATTAGCAAAAAAAAAAAAAAAAAAGTGTTAGATTCGACAAAACATAAATATTGTTATTTTTACATAATATTTTTTACTTTTATTTTAATTAACTATAATTTTTCTTTAATTTATTGTTTTATATGAAAAAGAATTTTTGTTATAGAAAATTTTCGTTTTTTCTACACTTTTTTTATTTTCTACATAAAAAATTTTTTAAACTTTCAAAAAAAATTTTTTATAATAATTATATAAAATATGACAAGTGTAAAAACTATTTTATGTATAAAATAATAAATAAATTAATAAATTAAATTAAAAGAAATGTTTTTTCAATGCAACAAAAAAACAAAGAAAAATTATAAATAATTAAAATAACAAAAATAAAAACATTTTTGTAGAAACTTTTATGTAGTTTTGATACCGACTCAAAAATTGATAAATCCATATTTTATTATTTCGAGATATTTAACTAAATGACATTTCTAAAGTTAATTTTAAATTTTAAGGGAGAAAAATTGTAATAAATTATTTATATATAAAAATTTTTTTTAGATTTAAGACGTTTTGTTTTTAATTGAAGTCTGTAATAATTGGAGAATTTTAATATTTTTGTAATTTTTTCCTATCAAAAAGAATTAAAATTATAAATCATCTTGATTAAGTCCAGATGTTTTTAAATTAAAATATTTTTTTTCCTAAATTCGATTAGTAAAATCTTTAATATATTAAATATACATTAATTTCCACTTTTTTTGAAAAATGGATTTTTCGACATTTGAAAATTTGCTCTTTAATTTATTACAGATAAATTTTAATCAGAATGATAAACAAGAAAAATTTATGTCCTTTTTTCATAAAGATTTTTTTTTTTTTGTTCCCAAGAATTTTGCAATAATTGGAATTTAGAGGAAATATTAATATTTAAAATATTCTATTGACAGGTGTTCGTGAAGTAACATTCTCTTCTAATTTCAACAAGTCACAAGGTCTTTCAACAATAGAATATACGGCCATAGGAATTTCTTCAATTCTCTTAGCACTAATTTATGTAGCAAGTGTATCTCTTTACTTGCATAGTAGAAAATCAAGAAGAAAATCATTAGAAACACCAGAAGTCATTATAACAAGTGGACGAGATGGTGTTGGTCTTGTAAAAAATAATCCTCTACTGGCAGCCTCAAGACATTTTGAGAATGATAGTGCATTGAGTGAGAGTGATTTAGGCGATGATCTTCCTCAAAGCGATGGCGATCAGGGATTCGAAAATGTTCACGTAAGTCATTTCAAGAATTTTAATTTCTTGCTAAAAAAAAAAACAAAATTTTCTTTACACCTAATAATAATATTTATTATTTATTATTATTATAAAAAAGTAATAATAAAAACAAAAATAAAATATTCATCTTCTGAAAGATTGAAAAAAATATATTTTTTCAACTGAAAATTAATAAAATTTGTTGCCTAAAAAGTATTTTAAATTGTTGATAGAGAAACATTATAAAAATTATTATTTTTTTTACTTTTCCAAACTTTTTTTTCAAAAAAAAAAGACCTTTTTCGACTTCTTTTAATAAAATGCGACTTTTTTTTTACAGTTTTCAAAAAAAAAATTTAAACAAAATACGTTTTTTCATAGTAGCAAATTATTAACTAATATTCTTCACTAAATTAATTATTTTTAAATATTTTATATTTGAAATAAAGATTTTCAAATAAACAATTTTTGAAGAAAGTATTTTTAAAAATATATTTTTGAAACAATTTTTATTTTTAAAAAGATGTATTGTTTCTTCAGAAAAGATACACTTCATTAAAAGAAGTATTTAAAAAAAAAATATGAATATTAATAATGAGAATGAATAGAAATGTAATGTGCAAAGTTGTGATACTTTTTTTTCTAAATAGCATTGAAATTAATTCAATTTTCGATGAATGAACACTAATTAGTATATATAAGTAAGATTCACTTAGCACTGTAAATTTTATGCGCTTTTAATTGGCTATTCCACTTTCTCATAAGTCTTGAAACAATTTCAAATTACTGTCAGTCTTCTCTCTGATTCTGAACTGCACTCTTCTATTTATTATCACTCTAATTTTTTATATTGTACAGTGAAGTTTCAAAGAAATAATTCACCAAAATTCTCAAGAAATAAAATATAGATTCTGAATTGAAAATAAGAAACATAAAAAACGCTCGGTAAACTTTACAATATATTTATGATCATCGATTAAGAATAAAAAAATTATTTCACGCGGAAAGTAATAAAAATTTTTGATCGAGAAAGTTTGCGAAAATTTTTTTCAGACAAAAAATTAAAATAATTTGTATAGAAAAACGTCACCGAAGTCTACGCAAAATTTTGAAAATTATGTAAATATATAATAAAATAAAAATATTACAGGTGACTTCTGCCTTGGTTCATCCACATTTTGATTGTTTGGAAATAAATGAAGGAATTTGTGGCTCGGGTACAATTTTAGGTGAAATATTACCCGAAGAAGATGTTCGAATTGTGGAAACAGTCGATAATACACATAATCAAGACACGCCAGTTTTACCGGGAGCTCAACGAAGAAAATTATATTTCAATCCAGCCTACTTTGATAGACAATTATTATTGGTAATAAATCGCATTTAATTCCATAAGAAAGCAATGTTTTCATTAAGTCACGTGCATTAATTGATTTTTTTTGCCACAGGCCCCACCACCAGCAGCTATTGAATTTCTTTTGAAAATCAGAGAAGTCATTGCCATTGCAAAACATAAAATGAGTGCGAAAAAATTCGTACCCTCTCTTGGAAGTAAGTTGAAAAATTAAGAAACAATTTTTTTTTTTAATCAGAAAAGCCATGTTGAAAAATAATTTTTTAGTTTAAAAAGAATTTTTGTAACATTCCTAAGCTTATATTAATTTAGAGAACACAAAATTACAGATTTTCATCATTTCTATAAATGATTTAATAATTAACCCAAGTTTGAATTTATAAAAATTGTTCATTGATTAAAAATTATTTACTCCAATTTTCAATAAATCTAAATTTAAATTAGTTGAAGCATTTATTGATTAAAATTGTAATCGATCTAAATTTAAATTCATTCTAATTCTAATTAACCATCAATTCAATCAATCCAAAATTTAATTTATCTAAATTTGAATTTATTCCAATTTTAATTCATTCAAATTACAAATTAATTAAATTTTCTTCTATTTAAATATTAATCGATTGAAATTTCAATTCAATTTAAATTTCAAGTGATCCAACTTGAATTAATTTTAATTTAAATTAAATTTACATTTGTTGGTTAAATTGGTTCAAATTATCCAAATTTTAAGGCGAGCGACTACTGAAATTTTCGTTATTAGGCAACAATTTTTTTCTCACATTACTTAGGATCTAAAAATGTGTTTCGTTGTCAAAATTAAAGAAAAAAATATTTTTAACAATTTTATAAATTATATTTTTTGAAAGAATGAAAAAAAATTTTAAATCTGTACGATTGATTGTTCAAAATCATAAGAAAAGTGTAAAAAAAATTGTGAATGAAAAATATTAAAAATTGTAGAAGTTCGAATTGCAATTTTTCCTGAATTTTAAGTTCTATTACAACATTCGTTAATTAATTATCTTTTTCTTTTGTAAATTTTCATAATGCAGCATCATTTTATAAGCTTAATAAAGTTGAAAAATAAATTAATACCCTAAAACAACGAAAATAAAAAAAAAATGTCACTGATACTTTACTTTTATTTATCCAAATTTCAATAGAATTAAATTTTATTCGATGCAAATTTCAATTTAATTTAAATTTTAATTTCCATTTCAAGTGATCCAATTTCATTTAATTCTATTTTTTTATTCGTCAAATTGGTTCACATTGGTTCAAATTATCCGAATTTTAATTTATCCAAATTTTATTTAATTTAGGTTTTAAATTATTCAAATTTTAATTTATTTTGAAGGATTTAAGTTTAAAATTATCCACATTTTAATTCATTTAAGTTTCAAATTATCCAAATTTGAATTGATTTAAATTTTAAATTATTCGAATTTCAATTTACTCAAATTTTGATTGATTTAACTTTTAATTAATTCAAAATTCAATTTATCAAAATTGTAAACTATAAATTTTTTCAATAATAGATTTTTTTTTTTTTTTAACACCTATTTTCGGTAAATAATTCACTTTTTCGACCTATTTTCTAGAAAAAAGATACTATATTTTCTGTTCTATTTTGAAAACAATAAAATACAATGATAAAATATTTTTTTCTAACTTCAAATTATTAGATTTCTATTAAAATTCATTAAATTTAATAACTATTTTTTGTCAGGAAAAAATTTTTAATGTCAGGGAAATTTAAAATTTTCTTATGGCAACCCTATTATTGGAAAAAAATTCAAAAATTAATTAATAAAATAAAAATTAACTAATCAATTTTTTTTTTCAATTGTAGATATTCCCGAAGAAGACAATTTATCCGAACAATGTAGTTTATTAATTAAACAAAAACCAAATTTCACACGAAATTCAATAGTAAAATCTCAAAAATCTCAAAATTGTTCTGGATGTCCAGGATGCTTGGAATATCATTCAAATCTTCCAACACTTGCAGAAAATATAAAACAAATACCAGGCGAAAGTAGAGTGAGAGCATGGCTTGAAGATGTAAAACCACCAGAACGTCGTTGGAAAGAAAATGAAAATGAGGGAAAATTCATTAAAGAAAAATCAAAAATATTTACAAATAATTTAGAATATCTCGAGGAAATAACCAATAAATATGAATTCAAATCAAATTTATCATCACAATTTTTTTCAACATGGCGTGATAATCCTCCAATGTTGAAAACATTTCGTAATATTGCTCGCAGTGAATATCTCGATAATGATGATAAATTTAGCATTTCACAAAGATCAACAAAATCAATGTTTGAAGAACCAATTTTCGATAGATTTCAACGTAAATTACGCGATGGATTTGATCTACATGAAAATAATGAAATTAATGCAAAAGTTCGTAAAGCAATTGAAAATTCATTTATTAAGCAAATGGAAGAGAATACAATATTGGAGAAAAAAGAAAAGAAATTCATTGAAAAGAAAAATGAGACATTAATAGGTAATAATGATTTATTAAAGAAAAATGACAATGAAAAATCTATAATTCCACCTTATAAGAAATCACGTAAACCAAAAGCACCATCGGTACCGAAAAAACTACCCAATATGATAAAGGAAATTTCAAATATTCCAAATGGTACAAACACAGCAAAACGTATAATGGACGCAGTTATCAAAGAAATGGTTGATGTAAAATCACTTGAAACATGTACAAAATCATCGAAAATTGATGACTACGAAGTCGATAGTCTCGAAAGATCGAAATATAATAGAAAATCATCAACATCACCAGAATCAATTGATCATTCAAGTCCAAGTTTATCATCAGCTTTACCAATGGAGGAGGAATTAACAATGCAAAATGCCATTATTAATAGAAAAACCGGTGAGATGACAATTTCAAAAATGAAAAAATCAAATTATTACAATCTTCCCGAAATTGTTAATAAAAAAGAAGAATATGCTTTAGTCAGTGAAGTTTATGTAAATGACGGCTATACAAGTCCAACAGGAAGTGATGATTCAGGTCCTGAAATTCAATATGAAGCTGAAAATCCCGGTCATCTTACAATAAAAGTTCAAGATTCATCTAAAAATTATATAAAACTCGACGAATCAGAATATGAGCCCGATACACTTGATAGAAAACCAATGAAATTGAAAATAAACGGTGATGTACAATATGAAAAGGATTCAATGACAAATGAAATATTTGCCGACTCATTAGAGAGACCAAATCAAATTCTATTGCGTTCAAAAGGCAGTTTTAAGGATGAGGATTCAATAAAAAGTGGAATTGCACCACTTCATCGTGGTTACGGTAGTCTTCGTGCTATTTATGAGGCACGTCTTAAAGCTGGAATGAAAGAAAATTCAGTGAATGATGGTGAAAAAACACTCTCATGGAAAAAGAATAAATATTTAACACCTGACAATAGACACGCGAGAAGACAAAGAAAACCCCATCAAAATCAACCGGATGTTGTACCAATGCCACCTGAGGAAATTTATCAATATCCAAAAGCACCGAGACGAGTTGAAAATAATTTGTCACTCTCAAAAAACGACTGGGACAGGAGTCGTACCAAAACGGAGGACCCTACAGCTAGTGATGGCGCTCCTGTCCCAAATTTAAATAGTTTATTCGTAGGGATAACACATTCGGAGAATTATAATAATTTCATTGATACATCATCATCATCGTATATTTCGAATATTAATTGTAATGGTGAAACGTTGGAAAATAATTTATCACATTCAGCGGCTAATATTTCGGAAATAATGTTGGATGAATTGTCATTAAAAAAAATACAGGGTGATAAAAATATTATTGATATTAATAATTGTTTGCCATCTTTGTATGGTAGTGAAATGTCAATGACAAAGGGACGGCCTTCTAGTCGAAATCAGAGGAATGATCAAATTAATCTTATTCCCACTCGTATGAGAAATTTGGCTTATTCAGCTGATCGTGTTTATTCGAAATCATCGAATGTTCTACGAAAAACTAAGGCGCAAAAAAAAGCGCTTTACATTAATCCTGCATTGGTGAGTTTTTATTTTGAAATAAGATTTTATTCTTACATATTAAAAGTGGATGTTTCTGTATAAATTTCATAAGTTTATTAATACAGGCCTCGACTTTTTCCGAATTTTTTTTTCAAAAATAAGACTTTTTTCGACTTATTTTAATAAAATTTTAATAAAATTTTAATAAAAGTTTTTCGATTTTTTTAACATTAAAAAAAAAAAATTAAACAAAATACGTTTTTTTAGTATACAATGCAGATCTTCTTCAGATCTTCTTTATTTCAATTATTTAACAAATTTTTAACTAAACTTCTGCACTAAATTAATTATTTTTAATAATTTTTTAATGAAATTCTTCACAAATTCAATTAAAATTTTTTATAAAATTTAATAATTGTTTATAATTTTAAAAAGAAAAATTAACAAATAAAATTACAACAAATTTTTAATTCAATATCACTTGAAATTTAATTATTTGCAAAAATTTCAATTATTTTTAATGATTTTTATAATATTCTTTGAAAATTCTATCTGAAAGTATTTTTCAATTAACTTTTATAAATTAATTAATTAAACTTTCGGAATTCAATTTTTGTATGATTTCTAATAAATTCTTGATCAACAGAAATCACTAAAAATTTCTCTTATTATAATTATTTTCTGAAATTTATCACAAACTTTTGAAATTCAATTATTTTCATAAATTTCAATTTAAAAGCTTCTAAAATTTAATTATTCCTAAAATTTTCCATCTAAAATTTTTTGAAATTTAATAATTTCAATTATAACTCTCCTGAAATTCAATTATTTTTAATGATTTTTGTAATATTTTTCAAAAATTCAACTATCTGAAACCATTTTTCACTTAAAAAGTTTTCAAATTATTGTATTTTTGTCTGCAATTTCTAATAAATTTTTTAGTGAAATCATCAAAAATTTTGAATTAAAAATCACTTAAAGTTCAATTAATTTCAATAATCTTAATTTTAAATCTTTGAAAATTCAATTACTTTAAAAAAATGTTATCGAAAATTATTTGATACATTATTTTTAGATCTGTAAAATTTCATTATTGTCTGAAAATTAACAAAAAATTTTGCAATTTTCAATTATTTCGAAAAATTTCAACTTTAACTCTTCCAAAATTATTGATATTTAAAAAAAAAAATTTATTTAAAAATCTGTAAAATTTGATTAAGTATTGCTTGAAATTTTGTTGACCATCAAAACTAAAAACTATGACAAAATTTTTAATTCGAATAAATTGCTTAAATCAGACTTCAAAATAATAGTAATAATAATAATGCATAATTTAATACATTTTTGAATAGTTTCAATGTGAAATTGATATCAATTTTTCTTTAAATTAACGAAATTGAACAAAAAAGATAAAAAAAGTTCTTTTTACAAAAATTTCATTTTCAAAATTTTCAATCGGAAACTTAATATTTTTGGAAATTAGTAACAAAAATAATCGAAAATGGCTAAAACTATTTCTTTACATCTTTTTTAACTTAATTTTTTCGAAAAAAAAGTAATTTAGTTTAATTTATTTAAAAAGTTTTAATGTCGAATTGATATCGGTTTTATTAAATTGGCATAAATTATCAAAGACGACCAAAAAAAACAAGTTTTTGTTAGTTAACATTTTTTTTTAATAGAAATTGAATTTCTTTTTAATTTTTCTCGAAAAATAATCATAATAAAAATATTATTTTTCAAAATTTTCGGAAATTATCTAAACTTTTCGTAATCGAAAAAAATAGGTACGTCTTTTCTAATTTTCAAAATCAAATTTTGATTTGAGTGACAAATTCAATTTCAATTGAATGTCCGGATTTAAAATATTTTTCATGTACAATTTTACAGTAAAGCTCTATGAAAATATGCTTGTCGAATTTAAAGGGCTTTGATTGATTTTTCACCAAAAAAAATTACTTCAAAATAAGAAATAGTTTTACAGAAATTTTTTTTAAAAATATAATTAGTGCTTGAAGTTAAACTATATAATAATTTTTTACGATTGAATCTCAATGGATTAATAAAGTTCATCCGAGGCCTGTGTTGGTTTTAATTTTATTTTGGAAAATCGAAAATTTTAAAAATTGAAATACAAAAAAAGAGATACAAAAAATTAAAATAATAAATAAATTTTTATAAAAGAAAATAATAAAAATTACAAAATAAAAAATGAGAAAAATTCACCAAAACGAAGTAGAAAATAAAATACAAATTAGAAACAAAAAAAAAAATTAAATACTTAACCAATATAAATAATTGGAAATCGTTTCTTTTTTTTCAGTATAAAATGGAAGACAGTGGATATCTGAGCAGCACAGACAGCAATGGATCTCGTAAGCAATTATTGGCGAACGATGTGAGTAGTGTATCGGAAACAGATGAAACAGAATCACAAGGTGATGGAGCAAGTGAAAGTGGAGCCGAAAGTGTTGGTACTGATAGTGTATTCTTTGGGAATTTTCGTAAACTTTCTGAAACGTCAAATTTTTCAAAAAGCATTGACTCAGGAGTAGATGTTGAAGTGCGAAATCCTTTTTTTAAACCATTTGGAATAAGAAATGAAGGTGGTGTTCTTGAGAGAATAACAATAAATACCAGTGAAAGTGAAGCTGAGAGCTTTAACACTGTTTTAAGTCCAGACAGTAGTAAAAGAAGTAGAAATCTTGCCTCTTGACTGAAACAACAAATTTAATATATATTTATAGGAAATTATATAAAAATTGTTCAAAAATATTTTTAATATATTTCTATACGTATCTACAAAAGAATATAGTATAAAAAAATAATTTTTGAAATTAATAAAAAATTTATTTCGTGTTAATTATAATATTTGTTTTTTGTTTTTTTTTCAGATTTTAGTAGTTTTTTAAAAATAAATTTTCAATTTTTTTTATAAAGAAACGATTGATAATGTTAAAATTTTTATCTAATATTAAAATAATATTTATTTAAATAGTTTTTTAATTCGATAATGTAATAATGAATTAATTAAATTAATTTCGTTTCTATTTTTATTTATTTGGAACTATTATTTTGAAAAAATCGATTTATATTTCAAATAAAAGACATGAAATAATTAATATATTAACTAAATAAATTTTTTTAAACTTGTAATAAGTAAAACAGACAAAAAAAAACTGTAGGCATCAATTAAATGAAAGCAACTGAAAGACTTGAAATGATCAATTATTCATGTTTAAAATAAAAGCCGTTGTAAATAGACACTTCATTTTTCTATACGTAAACTTTTGTAAAAACTTCGTTATGTTTAAAATGAATTAGATAAAATTCAAAGACACAATGTGTCAAAAAAAAAAAGTTCGACAACCGGGTAATTTATTTAATTCAGAAATAAGATTAAATAAGCTCAATTTTAATTTAGATAGGAACAATTTTTTATCATAAATGGGTAAATTTAAGAAATTCAATAGTAGTCTGACTAGATTTATAAAATTAATTAATTTGTTAATTGATTATTTTAACTTAAATGTCAAATAAATAATAATATTTAAAATAATTACTGGATTTTATGTAAATTATATACAATTTATAATTTATTAATTGATTAATTTTACGTGAATGTAAAATAATTCAGGGCCGGCGGTGCAATAATAAGATTATAAATTAGTAATTAATTTTACCAATTTATGACTCTTGTAATATTTATAAATTAAATTTACAAATATATTAAATGTCTCGTGAGTGAGATTATTTGAATCTAGTTTGATAAAAATTTTATTAATCTTTGAAATCGGTGAAAAAAATTGTTTTTAAATATATATGCGTAATTTTATAATAATTATGTATCAATATATAAGTATGAAGAATATAATTATAAGATTATGAATTTTGATATCTTACCAAACAGGTATTAATTATTGTAGAATTTATTAGAAATCTTTATCTCTTTTTAAACTATCGAGAATTATTATATTTGTTTGTTAAGGTATCTCTTCGGCTGTTTGTAAAAATTATTCAAAAGACAATTTCAATTGTTGCAATAGTTGTTAATTTTTTTTTTCTGTTGTGAATGCATTTTATTTATGAAACTTTATAATATATTTTATAATATTGACAATTTAATTTTTATTTAATTTAATTGCATAATATATAAAATTTTGTTAAGTTTGATTTTAATTTATTTTAAATAATTTTTAATTTAATTTAAAAATATGTTTTATATTTATATGTATCTGTAGGATAAAATATTTGTTTAAATGATTTTTGTAAATGTTATTATTAAATTATATATAATTTTTTGCAATTTTATTTATAATTAATATCTGAGATTTAGTTATTATTGGAAGGAGTTGTGAATTCCAGAAGCGCACGCTTCCATGTACCTGCCAAATGTAAATATAATTAAAAAGTTATAATATATAAATAAATTTATATAAAATTATTACACTCCTATGAAGTTTATAATAATATAAATAATGAAATATAATTAATTTATAAAGTTACAATACTCACTTCGAATGTATGTTATTTCAAGAAGTTTAATTTTGACTTTCGATAAATCTGTTCACCTGTTATATTATTATAATTTATTCATTAATAAATTTAATCAAATGTAAAAAGTTATTAATTTATTTCCAGTTTTTAAAATTAATTTAATGAAATGAAAATCCATTTTTAAGAACAAATTTAATATATATTTACTAATTTAATTTTATTTCAATTTTCAAACAATCAAATTTTAATTTCAATTAAAGATTTTTTTGATTATATATTTTTTAAATACATAATATTAAAAAAAATACTTCTTAAAAATGGATATAAAATACGAAAAGTACATATTTTCAGATTTTAATTATATTAGAACTGAAATTATTTTTTAAACTGGGATAGTTTTGATACACTAGGATAATAATTTAGTAAATTTTTTTAATTAATATTGAAAATAATAGTTGAAAATAAAAATGTTTGTATGATACTTGAGTAATGTTTTTGAATGAAATTGTCTGTTATTTTTTAATAACTTAGTTTAGTTCACTAATATATTTTAAAAAGATGTAATTTATGTATATAAAAAATTTGTACTTTAAAAATGATTTTTTTTATTTCATAATAAAGAATATAAATAAATAAAATATAAAAAATAGTCAATTATTAACATTAAATCTTCCTGACTGATATTTGAGAATTATTTAAGTAGAACATTATAAAATATTCTATAAAATTTTGTTCTATTTTTAAAAAATTAAATTTAAATTTTCTCAAATGATTAATTTTTATCTAATTAAAACAAATTAACACAAAAATTTCACTGAATTTTATAAACATTTTATTAATTTTAAAATTCTTACAAGATTATTTTATATTTTATTTTTTTATACAACAGTGAAGACGTTTTTTTTTTATATAAAATATGTACGTTTTCTAATGCGTGATTAAAAAAAAAATTCTTTCATAAACTACAATATGTACAGAAAACCAGAATTCTCGGGTAACGTTGAAATTAGATGTCAATATTAAAAGAAAAAAAAAAAAAATTACATCTTTTCATCCAATTCATCCTCCATTTCACTTTCGGATTCACTAATTTCTTCTTCAATTAATTCTTCTTCTTCTTCTTCCTCGGTATCATTATCTGATTCGATATCTATTCCATCATATTTAGTGAAAATGTTCTCATTATTATTATTATTTACCTCGTTTACTACACCTGAGTTACTATCTATCAAGTTTTCATTATTTTTTACAGATTTAACATTTTCTTCTAATAATTGATTAATAATTGTTATCATTTCATCTTTAAACTGATCAACGATAGGTAATTCTCGACACTGAGTTATGAATGGCAGTCCTTGATTATTTATGCAGTATTTCACAACATCCCATATACAATCACGTAACCGAAAGAGTATATCAGCAACACTAAATAAAAATAAATATAATTTAAAACCTATTTTTAGAAAAATCATAAAATTTGTAATAATCATTTTTGATATCCGTACAATTCATTTTTGACAATTATTATTTAATAAAATTTTATTTGAATTTATATTTTAACAATGAGTTGCACGGAAGAATGGTATAGAAATTTCTTAATTAAACATTGCTTAAATTGAAAATAATCTAATTTACTAAAATAGGTTAATAATAAAAATGACGACATTCGGACAAATAGATTATAATACTAATTTTTCTTCATGGTTTTAAAATTAAAATAATTTCCTCTACAGGGAATCTAATTAATATAGGTAAGAATAAAAATAATTAAAAAAATACAAAAATTAAATTAATAAATTAAAAAATAATTAACAATTTAACTAAACATTAATTAAATTTAAAATAATAAAATTTAACAACAAAAAAATATCTATTCTTTTTTGTAATATTTAAATTATTTCTGTGCCGTCAAAAATGAATTGTACGGATATCAAAAATGATATTTATGAATTTAAAAATTTTCTAAAAATAGATCGACAATGACTTTATGTGAAATATATTTTAAAATATATTTTAAATCGAAATATATTGTTTTTCTCTAAATAAAATGTTGTTTTCCATGAAATACTTACTTTTCATCACACAACATTGATACATTATCCTTATCGTTAAACTTGATAAAAATTTTGTTCTTATAGGAAATATTGTCGATATCAGTATTAATAAGTTTATTCTTTTTTGTTTTTGATAATTCTGCAGAAACGTGCTGAAAAATCAATAATAATTAATGAAATTGACAATTTTATCAATAATTTACCTTTTTTATACAAAGGTCCACATATAATAATAACAGAGTATCTAGCATTTTTTTTTTATTTTTTTTTATTTTTATGTTTTAAATAATTAAATTTTCGAAGAACTTAATTATTATTGAAAAAAATTAATTTACAAAACATTTAAACAAAAATTGAAATTTAAAAACGCTGCAGTTAACATTTTGGTAATTGAATTTTTTGAGATTTTTAAATAAAATTTTTGTAAATTTGAATTGCCAAAGGTTTTTTTATAAGCTTCTGATAACAATAATAATTGAATTGTAGAGAATTTTGAAATAAAAAATGTTTTTAAAAAAATTTAATTTTCGAAAATGTTAATTAAATTTATTAAAAATAATGAATTTTCAAAAAAAATTAGAAGTAATGTAAATTTTTGAAGATTTAAAGTTAAAATTTTTAGAAATAATAAATAATGATGAATTTTTTTAACGAAAATTAGACAATTATTGAATTTAAAAGAACTTTCATTTGAAAAATATTTTAAATAATAGAATTTTTAAAGAATTTAATGAAAATTATTGAAGATGTAAATTTTATAATAAAAAAAAAATCGTATCTTGTTTAAAAAAAAAAAAAATTCAAGAACTTTTCCAGGTTTTCAAAGAATTCCAAATCGCTAGACACCCTGAATAAGAAAAAAATGATTTTTAAATGAAATTTTTAATTTATTAATACCTCGTATCCAAATAAGTGACCTTGGGCGAATAATAAAACTGTCATTGGTGAAATTATACTAGAATCGCGTACTATCATTTTATGCCTTTCACCAGCAAATGTTTTCTTTATATAAGTGAAATAGGAATTTGTATAGCTTTTTTCTTCCCATGAATGATTTACACTTTCCGAACCGATATTCGTACTACATTTAGATCTGAAATTATATAAATATTATTAGAACAAATTTCAAAAGATTAATAATCTTTTTTTTTTTTTTTAATTTTCCATTAATATACTTACTCGTCCATAAATTCTTTATTATCTCTCACAATTCGATCACGTACTTTCACAAAATGAACATGTTTCAATACATTATTTAATCCAGCGAGGAGAACGCCCTTTATTAATTCATCATTTTGTGCATTTTTATTAAAAATATGATTCGAATCTAAACTTTTATTTCTCATTCCTGTCATATCGGCGAGCTGTCTTAGAAATTGTTCTCTCTCTTCTAAATAAAGGGAAAAAAAATAGAAGTCATTAGTAAAAATTATACATGATAAAAAAGACAAAAAAGAAATAAAAAATTCAATTTAAGGAGAGAGAAAAAAAAAAGAAAATATTTTCAATATCATACTTTTTAGTGTAAGCATCCGATAATGCGTTATTCCACATTCAAAAGAAAATTTTTCAGCTAATTCCTGACTTTCATAAATATAAGCCTCCCATTGCATGTATATCCAAGCTAGAGCAAGATGATCACTATTTAAATTAAAGCGTCGTTTAAGTGATCGAATTTCTTCTTTTCGCGTCAATGCATTCATGAATATCTCCATATTTATCGAAAAAATTGTCGATACAGTTAATATAGGATCTAGGCATCTGTTATAGTTTTTGACAGTATGAAAAAGAAAAGACTTAGTATATAAGCTAAAAATATCTATCATTAAATTAATTCAGTGAAATTTGTGAAAATTTAAATTAAAAAACTCACAAAAATAACTAAATTAAGTAAATAATAAAAAGTTAATTTTTTTTTCAATTTACCTTCTTTTTTAATATTTTAGATCAAATTTTGTAATATACCTAAAGTTCTGAACGTTTAAATGAGCGAAAAATTTACTTTTTTAACTTTAAATTTGATTATAAAATATTGCTTTGTTCCAAATCAGAAAAAAAATCGTAACAAAAAAACTTTGAAATTCAAATAGTATCGATTAAAATTTGTCAATAAAATTCAGTTTTTTTTTAATTATAATTTTTTTCGAGATTAAAAAACAGATATAAAAAAAATTTCGATTTTCAAATATTCAATATTTGCTGACAATTACAAAATGTAAAACTATAAATTATTATTTTTAAGTAAAAATTAAAATAACAACTAATGAGTGGAGTAGAAAACTCGTAATATTTAAAATATAAATAAAAAATAAAACTAAAGTAGTAAAATGTAAATGAAATAAATGACATACCCAAAAATAGTGGAATAAATCAATGTTTTTCCAAGAACAGGAGGAAGTGAAAGTTGACTAATTTTTTTGCCAAGTGTAGTTAAATTTTCCTGTGTATCTAAAGCACCTAAATTTATTAGACTTTCCACAGATCTCCGAACAACATGAGGATCCGGTGGTTCAGGCATTTCAGAAAGAAATTCTTCCACTTTATCATCAACGCATAATTTACAATCAATAATAACTCTTTCCAATGAAAGACACTGTATCTCAGGTTCAGCATATTTTGGCATATCATTAAATTCCCTTTTAGTTACAAAATGATAACTTTCACCCGATTGTACTCTACCCGCTCGTCCCTTTCTGCAATTCAATAAAATCGTAAACAAAAATTTTTTTGTGGTGCAATAAAAATCATATTAAAACTAAAGAACAATATCAAAAAAAAAAAGAAAAGAAAAGAAACCTTTGCAAGAGATTCGACTGAGAAATTTTGTAAATTTGCATGGTATTAGTTTCCTTCTCCTTATCCCATTTATTTGCCTTATGTTTAGCACAATCGACAACATAAACAACATCTCGAACAGTGATTCCAGTTTCAGCGATGTCTGTTGATAAAATAATTTTTCTAACACCAATTGGAGGTGATTCAAAAATTTTCTGTTGATCATGATAAGACAATTTTGAATGAAGTGGTAATACCAATTGTTTTGTTCCCTTTTTATTAATTTGTTTAAGTAAAGTATCAACTTGAACAATTTCCATCCAACCAGGCAAAAAACACAAAATAGCGCCCTCTGGTTTATTGTCACTTATCCATTGTATCATATTTGCAATTTCACCGCAATCAATTTGTTGAAAATAATTATTATTTAAACTGGTATTCAATTTTATTAATTTATTAATTTCTTCAATAAAATGAATTTTCACTGGATATATCATGCCAGGAATATCAATTGTGGCACAATCGAAAAATCTTTTAAATGTATCGGCATTTAATGTCGCTGACATTATAATAACTTTGATGTCTTTATTTTTTTTAATAATACGTTTCAACAATGCCAAAAGAATATCAACATCAACTGTTCTCTCGTGTGCCTCATCAATAATAACATGTGAACATCCAATAAAATTTGGATTTCCCTGTAATTTTTTCAATAATATCCCAGGTGTACAAAATAATATTGCACCAGGTGTTAATGGAAGTTTATGTTGTAATTTTACTTTATAGCCAATAGTGTCGCCTAATTTTTCACCTCGTTCCTCAGCAACACGTTGGGCGAGTGTTATAGCTGATATTCGTCGAGGTTCTGTAACAAGCATATTACATTTACTACCCTCACCTCTTTCAGCGTATGAGTCCATTATAAATTGTGGAACTTGAGTTGTTTTTCCACAACCGGTATCGCCTTTTATTAGTACAACTTGATTTTTTTCTATTAATTGAAGAATTTCTTTTCTGAAAAATAATAACAAATAATAATAAAATAATTTAATCGTTAATTTCAGGTCTCGGATTTTGAATAGAATTTTCAAAGAAATATTAAAATTATTAAAAATAGTTGAACTTTGGAAGAGTTTTAGTTAATAATTAAATTTCAAACAATAATGAAATTTTATAGAATTGAAAATAATTTATGAAATAATTTTAAATAACATTTTTTAAAAGTAATTAAATTTTCAAAGATTTACAATTTAGATTTTTGAAATTAATTGAACTTCAATTAATTTTTAATTGAAAGTTTTTGTGATTTCTAGTGCTGAAAAATGTATTAGAAATTAAAAAAATAGTTGAACTTTAGAAGAGTTGAAATTTTCTGAAATTATAAAATTTCAAAAGATTTTGTTAAATTTCAGACAATAATTAAACTTTACAGAATTGAAAATAATTTAAAACAAATAATTTTAGATTACATTTTTTTAAAAGTAATTGAATTTTCAAAGATTTACAATTCAGAATTTTTAAATTAATTGAATTTCAAGTAATTTTTAATTAATAGTTTTTGTGATTTCTGTTGCTGAAAAATGTATTAGAAATTACAGACAAAAATTAAATGAATTTTTGAAGAATTTCATTAAAATTATTAAAAATAATTAATTTAGAGAAAAATTAAAAAAAAAATCGAAAAAGTCGCATCTTATTAAAATACTTAAGTCGAAAAAAGTCGTATTCTCGAAAAAAAGTCAGAAAAAGTTGAAATTTTAATTAGTTAACAAATATTTTATTTCAAATAACTATTGTTGTTAGATAGTAAATTAACATTATTAATTTCATAATAAGAATAATTCTATAGAAATATCATGAAAAAAATATATTTCTAATATTTCAAAATAATAAACTAAGTAAGACAAATTTTCAAGATTTTCATTACATTGGACAGATTTCTAAAAAAAATTCTTAATATTCCATTTTAAAAATTTTTTGAAATTTTATTTAAGCAAATTATTCGAATTAAAAATTTTCACCTAATTTTCAGTTTTAATGTACAAAAAACTTGCAGACCATAATTAAATTTTAAAAAGTTTTTAATTAAAAATATTTTTAAATAATTACATTTTCGAAGAATTTCATGAAAATTATTGTTTGAAAATAATTTAATAAATATTAATTTAAAATAACATTTTATAAAAATAATTTAATTTTGGAGAAGTTATAATTGAAATTTTGTAGAAATAAAATAAAATTTCAAAAATGTTTTAAATAATTGATTTATTTAAAAACTTGATGGAAATAATTATTATTTTTAGAAATTTTAAACAATTATTGAATTTTTAAAAATATTTAATAGAAAAATATTTTCAGATAATTGAATATTTGAAAAATTTTATTTAAACTATTGAAATTCACATTCATTATACTTGGGACAGAAAAGTAAAGTCAAATTAAGAATAATTTTTTGTCTATTTTTCAAAATTATTTTTTTTTTTTTTTTTACATACCTGTAAGCATTGATTGGTAATTCATATCCAACTGGTTTTCTTGTTTTAAGTCTTTCACGAAGCACTTTATCTCTTAAATGTGGTTGTATTTTTGGCATAGAAATAATATTTCTTTGTTTTACTTTAGTAAAAATAGCACCTCCAAAATAGTTTTCATCAGATTCGTTCCCTTCATGTTCTTTAAATTTCGTCATATCTGCTTCCAGTAAAATTGGCTGTATATTCTAATTTATTAAAAAAAAAAAAATAAATAAAGAAAGAAAAGAATAAATTTCAGTTAGTGAAATAATTAAATTTAAATAAATTTATTATAAAATAAATGAAAATTAATATATCTTTAAAATGCATGAATAATTACAATTTCATATTTTTCCAACAAATTCTTTAACTTCAATTGTAAATCTTCTTTGATAGTTATTATTGATGGATTATTTATGGCCTGCATTATTTTTTTAAAATCAAAAACAACTGGTAAACCATTTTTTAGTTTTCTATTTTGTTTTAGCCAATATAAACATTGTAAAGAAACTTCTGAAGTGGCTGCTTTTTTTAAACGTTCTTCAGCAGTAAATACACGATTCTCTGGCCAAGAAACAGTACATGTACATTTCCATCCTTTTGGAGTTTCATCGTATTTCATTACCATTGGTCGTTCCATTTTTAATTGTGTTTTAACTATTGAATATGTATTGTGTAATGAACTAGTTGGAGCCGGATATTCTTTCAACATTTCTGCAAATATATACAAAAATATTAATTGACTTGTTTCGAATATACATTTTAATAGAAATTTTGATTATTTTACCAGGATTGCCACAAAATTTTCATTATAATTTTCCCTGATTTCAAAAAAATATTTTTGCGTTTTTCCCTCATATTATCGAATTTTGTTCTTTTTTATCAAATATAAATTCGATTTCAAAAAAAATTATGATATATGAAAATTTGACCAAAACAAAATTATATTGAACAAACATTTAAAATATTCAAAATTCATAATTTTTAAAAAAAATTCAATTACATATTTTCAAGTTTTAATGAAATTCTTTTTGAAAAATTCAAATATTTTTAAAGCTTTTAATCAAATTTTACAAAATTTCAATTACTTACAATTCTTTTAATTAAATATATTTTAGAAATCAATTATTTTTAAAAATATAATTTTAATTAGTGCATATTATTTAAAAAAAAAAAAAAAAAAAAACTTAATAAATTTCATAATTTGAAATAAATTCTTCGATAATTGAATTATTTATTTTTGAAATATTTAGTCTAAACTATTTTAAAAATTGGAAAATTAAAAATTTTTCATTGCAATTTTTTCAATATTGATCTATTTCTATTAAATTCATATTTAATTGAGATTTAATAATTACTATGTTATTTATAAAAAAAAAATAACTAAAATTCTTTGTAAATTTTATCTTTTTCAAAAATTTCAAGAAACTTCTTTAATAATTGAATAATTTAAAAAATTATCAAATTAAAATTATTACTGTTAACACATTAATTTTAATTTCCAAAAAATGTATTTATTTGTAAAAAATTATTATTATTATTATTTATTTCCAAATATTGAAATTAAATTTTTACAAATAAATTTTACCTAAAAACTTTTTCATACTTTTAGGCCTCGGATCGACTTTAAGACACAAAAACAATCGTTTTAGTCGATTTTTATTGCAAAAAAAGTCGATTATTTTCTATTTGAACAAAATTTAATTGATTAACGAATATTTTACTTCCAATAACTAATATTATTAGATATTAAATTAATTTTATTAATTCTGTATGTGAGAATAATTCTATAATGAATATTATCAAGAAAATTTATTTCGAATATTTCCAATTTTTATAAAATTATAAAGAATTATTAAATTTTCATAAAAATTTTAATTGAAAAATAGTTTAAGATAATTGAATTTGTAAAGAATTTAATTAAAATTATTAAAAATAATTAATTTAGTGAAGAATTTTAATTAAAAATTTGTTAAATAATTGTAATAAAGATCTGCATTGTATACTAAAAACACGTATTGTTAAAAATTTTTTTTTTTAATGTAAAAAAAAGTCGCATTTTATTAAAATAAGTCGAAAAAATTGGAAAAAGTTGTAAAACTGAAGCCTGTACTTTTAAATAGTTTTCAAATTTTCAATTGAAAATCGTTAAAAATTTAATCATTAACAAAAAATTTAAATTAAAAATTCTCTATAACTCAATTTGTGTTAAAAATTTGTAAAAAAAAAAAAAAAAACTCTTCAACAATTCAAATTTACAAAAAATTCCAATTTCAAATATTCTACAATTCAATTAATTTGAAAAATCTTAATAGAAACTATTCGAAAATTTCAGTATTTATAAATTTTTATCTAAAATTCTTCGTCAAATCAACATTTTTTTTTAAATTCCCTAATTTCCCTATCTTGTGGCAACCTTGATAATTTACTATAAATTTTTTTTTGAAAAATATTACCACTATGGTAAGACAGTTTCTTGTGAAGTAATTGTTTCTCACTATGATGTGTTCTTGGTTCTAAATTTGTTTTCCTTTCAGCATTATCCTTTAAAAAAATATTTTTTAAAAAAATTAATAACAATTTCCACACTATCAAAGTAGATAAAAAAAATAATTATATAATTTTTTCCATTTTAACAATTAATAATAATTGCAATTATTATATCTGTTTAAAGAGAAAAAAATATATATAATTGTTCCATTTCAATAGGGTCAACCGGGATAAATCCGAACGCTTTTAGTAAGTTTCAACAATAACATAAGTTTTTTCTTTAAAAAAAACATACTTCCGGTATTCTGGTGCATGAAGTTGTTACTTTACTTCCATAGAACAATTTTATGGGGTAGAAAAAATTTTTGATAAATTACAATCGCAGGAAACTTAGCGTTCGTATTTACCTCGATACTTTGCAACTTTCCTAAAATATGGGGGTAAATACGAACGCCACTGTATTTCAGAAAAATCTTAGGGAAAATAAATTTAAAGTATTGCAATTGTTAAACGTATATAAAAACTCAAAAAAAATACGATAATAAACCTATTATGTAATAATGCATCATATATAAATACAAAAATCAAACAGGTTAAAAATTAAAATGCATTACACAATTAAAACCTTCAATAACTTTATCAAATCATAACGGATTTTTGCAAAACTTGCTACAGAAAGTATTTTGGAGTGATTGAATGTAAATACAAAAATAAAAGTCAAATTTTTTAAATTCAAAATGGCGTACTTTCCTAAAACTTATTTTTAAAAATGATCAAATTTGCTAACCCTGAAACCCCCCGAGTAACAATTTTCGAGCGAATCCAATGAATTTTTTAATTCTCGTCCGCCATTTTGAATTCTGAAAAACTGACTTCAAATTGGTAATTAGCGACCCCAAAAACCGTAGAATACCAAATTTTATTAAGATCCTGAAAAACTTTTTTCAACAAACCATTTGGCAAAAAAATTGAAACACTCCTTCGAGAGAACAGAGATTAAGTTTCTGCTTATTAATTACTAACGAGGATACGTATAGAAAGAAAAACTTTTTTCTATGTACTTTTATAATGTTAAAATAATAGTGTAATCAAATAAAAACAATTTTGTGTGGCTTTGATGTAAAAAAAAATTATTAAAAATACCGTTCGGATTTACCCCAGTTTTCCAATTTTCTTGGGTAAATACGAACGGTCTGATATTATTAATAAAATTTTACAGAAGGCAAAAATCAAATATAGTTTCTGTTCTAGTATTCATAACAAACAATTATAAATAATAAAATGAATTTTTAGCTTCTTTTTCTTCAAATACGAGACAAAATACTGAAAGAGTGTCATCTTTGATTTTCAATCTTTTTTGCAATACTTGTTATCTTTGTTTATGCTGTTGCTAATTAACAAACAAAAAATGGGATAATACTTAGAATCTCTTCAAGAGGATCTGAGGTAAAAATTCTCATATCGAACTTATTTTTAAAAATTTTAATTAAACTGAAATAATTAGCGTTCGGATTTACCCCCCGTTCGGATTTACCCCCCGTTCGGATTTACCCCGACTGACCCTACTGTAGGAATAAGAAAAATTAAATATAATAAAATATTTTAAAAACTCATAACTTACTTTCATTAAAGAATGTAGAACACTAAGATGCATCGAATTATTTTTATCATTTTTACAATGAGGTATTATTTGTGTATGAAAATTTCTCACACATAATACTTTTAGTCGAATTGAATTTTGTGTAATAAATCTATTAGTAGAATACAGAGATAAATTTGATGATGGAATTGACGGTAAAGAATTGTTTCTTTTATTATTTGTAATATGAGTTCTAAAAATTAAGTTGTAAGCATTATCAATACTTTTTAATGTTTTTCTTCTTCCAATTGAGCTGAAAAATAGTAATTTTCTTTTTGTACAGAAAAATATCGACAATCCTTCTTTTTTTTTTTTTTATTTAATTTTTACGTTTTAAAAAATTAAATTGAATAAAATAAAATTAAATTGAATAAGAATAAATTTCACTTTGTATTTACCAAGTAATCAAGGTGTAATTATTTTATAATTAATTAATTATTTATTCATTTTTTAATTGAAAATTTATTCATTTTCATTGAAAAAAAAAAAATTGAATTTGGGATAAATTTATCTTTGTACTTACCAAGTACACAGAGTGTCACTTGCATTAACGAGACTTTGCAAACGTAACATTTTGTTTATTTTATTTTTAAAATCAATAATCAATTGATTTAACTATCATTACACTTAAAGTTACCTAAAAAATAGTATTAAACGTTTATTTTACACTATCGAAGTACATAAAATAAATAATTATATCAATCATTTTTCGCATCTTAAAAATTTTCTAAAATCACAAAAAATTAAAAAATCATTCTAAATTTTCTATTTATTGATATAGAAAATTAAAAATTTTGATTTAAATTGAATGATGAAATTCATACCGTCCTTTTAGGTTAGTATTATCTTATTAATAAAATAAAATATAAATTCTATATGGCATGTAATAAACTTACGTCCATTAAAATGATTTCCTTCAAAAATTATCAAATAACTGTTTTAAAAAGCACTTATAGAAATTAAAAGTAAAAATTATATGAAATTACATTTGTTTTACTATATTCGTCCACATGATGATACATGCTTTTTGTATTAGTTACCAATACATTCATGTTTCGTATATACATACACAAGGCCGTATGAACCGGAAATATAGCAGACAACACTTCCGTTTCAAGTGCCGGTGTTTTTAGCGGGAAAGTCAAATTATTTTTCAACAAAAAAAAATTTTTTCCACAAAGCCAAACAAATTAAAAGTAATAAATTTCAAAATTTCTCTTTTTGTGAAATTAGTCAATTAAATTAATAATTAGAAATTATTTTTTATCCCTTTTTTTAAAACAGAAGATTTTTGAAGAATTTTTAGGTTAGGAATTTGTTAAGCTTCCTATTAAAAAGGAAATGTTAAATTTAATCTAATTTAAATATTTTTATTTATATTTATTCTCTTATTATTATGTAACAAGAAAAAAAAAAGTAATTCAAATATCGCTTTTTGTAAACGCGCCTTAAGTCGCGCAAATAGACAGAAGCCACGTCTATGTGTGCGTGTCGCCACGTCCATCCATGCCGACATTAATTAAAGTTTGTTTGTTAGTGCCGGTTGTAAAGAAACATTATTTTCTTAATTAAAAACATATGAAATACATATTTTTTTTAGTCTAAGAATAATTTCCAAAATGGAACTTAAATTAACATTAATAAATGTGTTTATTTTCATAACTCTAAACTTTTATTTCTCCAATTCACAAATAGTTGAATCCAACCTCATTATTAAAAGTGCTGAAAGAAACATTGATTTAAAATCTCAAGTTACAAAAATAACAGCAAAATTAATTGTCGAGAATGGTGGTAAAAATTCAGTGAAAAATTTCCTCTACGCATTTGAATCTAATTCAAAAATTCATGTGAGTTCTGTAGCGGCACATCTTCGTGAACCAGGTCGTGCCGATCTTAAAGTCACACAGGTTAAGGTAAAAGAACATCCTGATAAACTTTTTTTCTCCATTGAATTACGTGATTCACTACAACCAGGAAGATCAGTGAATGTTGATGTTGAAAGTGCATCATCACACGAATTGATTCCCCATCCAAAGGAAATTAAGCAAAAGGAAAAACAACTTGTTAAATATAGTGGAAATTTATATTTTTATTCACCATATACAGTTAATAAACAATCAACAACAATTGTTTTACCATCGAGAAATATTGAAAATTATTCGAAAATAAAACCAGTCACACAAAGTGATTCGCAAATTACTTATGGACCATTCGATAAAAAGGAGGCATTCTCACATGAGGATGTATTTGTACATTTTGAAAATAATAATAAATTTTTGACTGTCACTAAAATGGAACGTGTTATTGAATTATCACATTGGGGCAATATTGCCGTTGAGGAGACAATTGAATTACTTCACACTGGAGCATTATTGAAAGGATCTTTCTCGCGGTATGTGATTTTTTTTCTTAATTATTTCTGTACCTTTAGTATTTTAAAAAAACAATTTTTTTTTATTTTTTTATTACATTTGTTGTAAATTGAAATTTTTTTTCAGATACGAATATGCACGAGAATCAAAATCAGGCCAAGCGAGTATTCAAAGCTTCGACACTGTACTTCCGGCGGCAGCTTCCGATATTTATTATCGTGATGAAATTGGAAATATCTCAACATCACACACTCGACTAAGAAAAGATTCCGTGGAATTAAATTTGCGACCTCGATTTCCACTTTTCGGTGGTTGGAAAACACGTTACATTGTTGGTTACAATGTACCAAGTTATGAATATCTTTATCACACGGGTGACAATTATATTTTAGAAATGAGACTTCTTGATCATGTATTCGACGATATGGTAATCGATGAATTAATTGTGAAAATAATATTACCAGAAGGCTCAAAAAATATTGAATTAAACGTTCCCTATCCAGTTGTACGTTTGCCAAATTCACTTCATTACACTTATCTCGATACAACTGGTCGTCCAGTAATTTCAATAATGAAAAAAAATCTCGTTGAAAATCATATTCAAAATTTAAAATTAAAATATACATTCCCAAAATTTTTCATGTTACAAGAACCATTACTTGTTGCTGTTGCTCTCTATTTACTATTTCTCATGGTTATCATCTACGTGCGTCTTGATTTTTCAATTGACAAAGATGAAGCATCAGAATGTAAATTACGTGTTGCTGGACAATGTGAAAAAATTTTAGCATCACAAGATCGTCGTGTAACAAGTTATAATGATTTAGATGAACAGCTTGCTTATTTAAAAACAAGTAAAGATTCAAATGCATTTTTATCAGTTGCAAAAAATATTAATCAAGATTATAAAAATGCGACAAATAATATTTCTGAAATGGCACAAAAATTAAAAGGTGAATCAAGCGATGTTTATGAACGTGTTCAAGAATTACAGAAACATGATAAAACATTGAAAGAACTTTATAATCAACAACAATCGCTCTATGTTGATAAATTGGTAACGGGGAAAATTGGCAGACAACAATTTATAGATGCCGAGGCTATTATTACAAAGAAAAAGGAGGAATGTGTCGAGAAAATAAATGCCATTATTAAATCATTACAATAAGAGGAGAGGAAAAAAAAGGGGGGGTGGGGACAAGAAAAAAAAAAGAACGATTTTAATGTAATTAATAGTGGATTTATTCCAAGAAAAAAAAACATTTCTCTCAGTGTTACATTTTATAGAATACATAAAATAAGCTCAATTATCATCAGTGGAAATAAGAACTATTAAGAGATAATAATTTAGGTAAAACTATTTGTAAAATTACATAATTGTTCTATTCACGTTGTTTTTTTAAATAAAGATAAAAAAAATCGAAATTCCTTATTTTATTTACCGTTTTTAGTAAAAATTGATTTAAGAACTAAATTTAAAGAAAATGTGAATTTGGCTTTTAATTAATAGTATTAATTAAATAATTAACAGAAATTTTGAAAAAAAAATGAAACTTTTAGTTTATATTTTCAAAATTTTCGTTAATTTATTTGATTATTAATATTAACAGCCGAATTTTTTTTTAGTATACAATGCAGATCTTCTTTATTTCAATTATTTAGCAAATTTTTAACTAAAATTCATCACTAAATTAATTAATTTTAATAATTTTAATGAAATTCTTCAAAAATTCAAATATTATCTTAAACTATTTTTCAATTAAAATTTTAATGAAACTTAATAATTGTTTATAATTAAAAAAAAATTAGCAAATACAATTACCAAAAATGTTTAATTTAAAATTTTAATATCACTTGAAATTTCAATTATTTTTAATGATTTTTGTAATTTTCTTCGAAAATTCAATTATCTGAAAGCATTTTTCAATTAAAAAGTTTTCAAATTATTCCATTTTGTCTGCAATTTCAAATAAATTTTTTAGTAACAGAATTTCATCAAAACATTTTAATTAAAAATCACTTGAAATTCAATTAATTTAAAAATTCTGAATTGTAAATCTTTGAAAATTCAATTACTTTTAAAAAAATGTAATCTAAAATTATTTGTTATAAATTATTTTCAATTCTGTAAAGTTTAATTATTGTCTGAAATTTAACAAAATCTTTTGAAATTTTATAATTTCAGAAAATTTCAATTATTTTCAAAAATTTCAATTTAATTTAAAACCTTCTAATATTTTTATTTCTAAAAATGTCAACTGTAACTCTTCCAAAATTTTTATAATATTTTTCAAGAGAAATCATCAAAAAATTTTAATTAAAAATCACTTGAAGTTCAATTATATCTCAAAATTTCAACTTCAATTTTTCCAAAATTATTAAAAAAAAAATACTTAAAAATCTGTAAAACTTGATTAATATTTTGAGTTATTTCAAAAATCCTTGTGCCTATTTTGAGATTTTTGTGTAAAAATGAAACTTAGTTTATAAAATATTTAGTCTGAGAAAAATATTTATGTAAGGGAAATTTGGAAAATTGAAAAAATTTACAAAACAAGTAAATTATAATGAGCCAAAAGTTCTGAAAGTTCAAATGAACAAATAATATTTTTTTCTATAATGTCAATGTAAAATAAAACAGTAAATGAAACAAATATTAAATTAATAACTTCTTTTTACATATATTTAAAACAATATTTTGTAATAAAATTCGTATTTAAAGAAGTTACAAAAGAATTTTTTGTTAATTTAAACGTTCAAAACTTTTGGCTCATAAATTATAAGTATAATATTTGGTACTTACAGTAATCGTAAAAAATTGTAACAATTTTTACCTCTAGAAAGTATCAGTTATTTTGATAAATTTGTTATCTTTAACGGCAAGAACTTTATACTTGAGAAAAAAGCATAAATTTCAAAAGTATTCGCATAATATTCTAATAATAGTATTTGTATAAATATTGTATTTAAAAATTTTTTTTTTTTCATAAAAAATTATATTTCAAAGAATACAATAATTACGTTTTAGAGAATATTTAATTAAAATTTTTTTTAAATACAACTTAATTTTCAAAGAATTTTATTAAACTATTGAAAATAAATAAATTCGGTCTAAAATTTAAACTTTTTTAAAATAATTAAATTTATACAAATTTCTGAAAAGAAAAATTTAATTTATATTTTTTGAAACTGATTTGATATTTCGAAGAGGTGCAATTAAAGTTTTTAATAGTATCAATTAATTTAACAAAAAATTTTAATACAACTTTTTTTAAATAAATAAATTCTCTAAGAATTAAAATAAATATTTAAAAAGCAATATTTTTAATATATGAATTGTTGAAATCAGTAAATTATCAAAGAAATTCATTAAAATTTTTGAAAATGATAAAATTTACAGAGTTAAAATGTAAAATATAATTAATACAACTATTTTTGATTTTGAATTTATTTCTATTACTTTATATTTTAAAACTGCAATTTTGGAAAATAATTTCAGTTTTCAAGTTTACTTACAATGATGTTAAATAATTTAAATGTAGTAAAATTTGATTAAAGATTTTTTAAATTTTTGAATTTTTTCAAAGAATTTTAAGTTTTATTGTTCAAAACAAATTTTAGTAACTACAGGGTTACCACAAAACCCTAGATTAACCTTTGACCTAGATTAATTAAAATTTTAATCAAATTCAATAGATTAAAACTCAAAATTAACTAAATTTCAATCTATCTATAAATCTATTTTTAAGTTTCAAATTAGCGGAATTAAAAAATTAAAGAATGAGAATTTTAGGAATTTGAAAAAGGAGAAAATTAATTCAATAAAAAACAGGAATCTTAGAAAATGAAAAGAAAATTAAAGGAAATATATAATGTTGAAGGAAAGAAAAGTCGAGTATTTCAGTGAAAAATTGAGAATTTTGGGTCAGTTCCAAAAAGAGAATAACGTTTAGAATTCCAAAAAAAAGAATTTGAAGAAAAAAATCGTTTTAAAAAGCGAAAATTAAAAAAAAAATAAACAAAAGATAAAGGATAATTTTAAATAATAGAGTCGTAAAAAATAAGAAATTATTATAAAAATGAAAAATTTTGAGAATTACTAAAAAAAAAGTGAATTTGAGTCAAAAATCAAAAATTTTGTCCCATTCGTTAAAATAAATAAATTTGAGAAATTTACCCAAAAAAAAATTTATAGAAAAAAATAAAGAATTTACAAAAGAAAATAAATTGCAATAAATATACCTAATTTTATTTTTAATAAAATTCCCGATTTGGAAGAAAAATTCCAGGCTAATTTAATTCAAATAGAAATTAAAATAAGCATTGTAATTATATTTCTAATTGCAATTTTAACTTAATTATCGTAACTCTTTTTATTAAGTATGAAAAGCGTAACATATGATCTTTACAATGTTTCAACTTTTTAAATTTTAGTTAATTACAAGTAATTATATATTTTATTTGGTGAATGTTAAAAATAAATGTTTCTTACATATGTAACACAAATTTATGTTTCAGTCACAACAGAAAATTATTTCCATTCTAATATAGGTACATCTTTGTAAAAGTTAAACAAAAAAATATTTGATATTATTTTTGTCTTGAAAATTTAGGCATATTTAAAGCTTATTAAGATGAGTAATTTATTGAAGAGCAAAAAATTTGTATTTATCACAAATTAATTGTCACACTGACAAGATAATAAAAATTGTTTAAAAATTAATTTTCACAATAATTTCAAGTTAATTTTCGCTGTTTAAATCTAAAATTAATTTTCCATATTATCTATAAAGTTAATTTTCAATATTATTATATATGTAAAGTTAATTTTACAAAGTTTATCTAAAATTTTAAATGAATAATTTCTGTTAACAATTAATCAATTCCACAGAAGTATTATCAGTATTAGAATAAAGTAAAAATATATATATATCTATATACCTATTTATATATAGTTAAATTTTTTTTAATTCGTTTCAACTAGTTTTAAATTGAAGTATATATCCATTGAAATTTTAAACTGTCGTAAAATGTAGTTTTTTTAAGTAGATAAATTTTTTATCAGCTGATAAAATTGACATTTCTGAGTTTGACTTGCGTAGACAAATTTTTATTGCAATGTATAATATTTAGGCAAAAATACGTTAATTTTATAATAATATTCTATTATTTTTATTTTCTTCATTATCAAGAATTATCTAATTCTTAGATAATTTTGTACATTTTAGATTCTTTAAAGAATCAAAAATGTTTCCATAAGAAACATTTTAATAAATTTTTTTCTTCTAAATTGCAAAAACAATTAGAATTTTAAATACTTTTCAATGAGATAGAAGATTATAGAGCTATAAGCTTTTTTTTTGCGATTGTCTATACAAATTTGACAATTCCGATACTTAAATTCTTTGGGCACGTAGAAATAATTTCAATAAAATTCGAAGCGTTATTATGCTTTGATCCATTGTTCAACATAGTCAAGAGCATTTTGAAGAATTTTCTTCTCCGTTTGTCTCAATTGTATCGCTAATTTTTTTAATTGAGGTAAAGTTGTTTTTAAAATCTCTGCGTCCTCCTGTTCAAAATTAAAAAAATAACATTGATTGAAATTGTAAATTATTAATTAGTTTTTATTTATAATTATAGGCCTCGGATTATTTGACTTTTTCTGACTTTTTTTTGGGAAAATACGACTTTTTTCTACTTATTTAAATAAGATGCGACTTTTCCGACTTTTTTAAATATTTTTTTGACAAAATTTTTAAACAAAATACTTCTTTTCTAGTATACAATGCAGATCTTCTTTATTTCAATTATTTAACAAGAATTTTTAACTAAAATTTTTCTCTAAATTAATTAATTATTTTTAATAATTTTAATGAAATTCTTCACAAATTCAATTGTCTTCAATTATTTTCCAATTAAAATTTTTATAAAAATTCAACAATTGTTTATAATTTTAAAAAATCAAATAAAATTACGAAAAATTTCAATTTAAAATCTTTTAAAATTTAATTATTTTCCGAAATTCAATTATTTTTAATGATTTTTATAATATTCTTCAAAAATTCAGTTATCAGAAAGCATTTTTCAATTAAAAAATTTTAAAGTTTAATTTTTGTCTTTAATTTTTAATCAAATTCTTCAGCAACAGAAGTCATTGAAAAATTTCAATTAAAAATCACTTGAATTCAATTATTTTCAAAAATTTCAATTTAATTTAAAACCTTCTAATATTTAATTATTTCTAAAAATGTCAACTGTAACTCTTCCAAAATTTTTATAATATTTTTCAAGAGAAATCATCAAAAAATTTTAATTAAAAATCACTTGAAGTTCAATTAATTTCAAAAATCTGAATTGTAAATCTTTGAAAATTCAATTACTTTTAAAAATTATTTGATAACTTATTTTCAATTCTGTAAAATTTAATATTGTTTGAAATTTAATTATTTATAAAAAATTTCTACTATAACTCTTCTAAAGTTCAATTATTTTTAATAATTTTAATATTTTTAATAAAAATTCAATTATTTAGAAAAGTTACAAAAATTCCAATAGAATTATTCTTATTAAGGAATTATAAAAATAGATTTAATTATCTAATAACATTAATTATTATTTAAAGTAAAATACTTATTAACTAATTAAATATAATTAAAATAAAAAAATTGACTTTTTTGCGCCTTAAAGTCGATTCGAGGCCTGATTACAAAAAAAAAGAAATAATTTTTAAATACTGAAATATTATGAAAAGAAAAATTTCTTAAATAATTTAAAAAATTGAGAAATTTCAAAAATATCAACTTACCTCTTGAGAAGTTGGATAATTGGCAATTAATAATTTTAATCGAGCTAATAAAAATTTCCTAACATTTTCTTCAACGACAGTCTCTAAAGCACAGTCTATATGTTTTAAATCGAAAACCTTGTCGGACTCAAGCCAATGATCAAGTTCACCTTTTCTCATACTAAATACACGCAAAAAAGCGAGTAACGTATCCGAAATTGGTTCAGGACCTGGTTTCAATAAAAATTCTCCAACAGAAGGTAAATCTAATTTTTCTAAAAGTTGTAACCTTTCTTTTTGAAGAGAATCTGCTTTACTTATTCCAAGACGAAGTTTAAAGCCATCCTGAAAAAAAATATATATATATTTCAATTTTTTTTTCTTTTTTAAAATAATAAACTATAATAATAAAAACAGTAAAATTATAAACGATATACTATTCAATTTCGAAACAATACTCGTTAAAGTAATAATAATTTTCTTACAAGTTTATTGTCTGGATAAACGAAGCCGGAATGAACGAAAAAATCGGAATTCGTTCTCGGTCCATAATATATGAAAATTTGTTCGCCTGCTTTAAAATCTCTCATTGCATAACACTCACAACTATCTGTACTTCTATTAAAATCGGTAGTTATCTGTAAAATAGTAAAATATATATTTTTATGTTCAAATAAATAATAGTAATTTATAACATATAATCGTTCTAGTAGAGTAACAGCAATAATTCACAGTGTTTGCGAAAAAAAAAAAATAATTTTCCCTTTCAGATAAAGGAATTTATATTTGAAACAAAAGCAGTGATAAATAGAAAGTCAATCACTTGAATTAAAATTACACAATTTTAAATTAGAAAATTAGAACAAAAAAAAAAATAGGAAATTTTCTTACGACAATAGAATAGTGAATTAATAATTAATTTTAATTACCTTTCCTTCTTCATGATTACACATATCCCATAAAGGAATTAAAGCGTGAATCATTTGTGTCTCATCCTCATTAGGAATTGTGTTCAATCGAGTCATTACAGTCGATACTGCCCAACTGAAAACAGAAAATAATTTTATTTATCATAAATTAAATTTAATAATTATAAAAACTTGTTTCACTTCTTAACATACATTCTTGTTTTACTTCATTCACAATGAAGTTTCAGTATTATTATTATTGTTATTGAATTATGTAGAAGTCAAATTATAAATTTAATTAGAGAAATATAATTTAAAGAAAGAAAGCATTGTGTGAGAAATGGAATTATTATTTTGTAGCTCGAAGTAAAATAACAAAAAAAAAAGTGAAGTAAAATCTCTTTTCTTAATGAAAGTTAAAATTACAAAAATAGAATATCTAAAAAAAATTGATAACCGAGTAAATAAAATCAGTTAATTCAAAAAAAAAAAAAAAAAATGTAGATTTTGGACGGAACTTGACCTAGAAAGATGAAATTAAAAGAAAGGAGATTCTCATTGTCCCAACAACTTTCTCTCATGGGAAAATGTGCGTGGCGGTTTTATGTGCTGAAAGTTAAGCGACAGTGGCCTTCAACTGTCGTTTATTAATGAAAATAAAAAAAATCAAAACTAATGCCACAAATTTCATATCCGATATATAACATTCGATCTAAATAAATATCAATAATAAAAAAATTAGTTTTTTAATATTTTCTATTACATCTAAATAATATTAAGAATAAAAAAATTAGTTTTTAAAATATTTTTTATATTAGATCTAAATAATATCGAAGAATAAAAAAATTAGACTTTTAATATTTTATATTTTAATGAAATCTTCAATAAATCGCATTAGAAAAGTTCAAATTCTTATGCAAGTTTTTGTTTGAAATTTAATTGGAATAATTAATGGAATTTCAAATAAATAAACTTTCAAAATATTTTACAAATCATCAATAATATCGCATCATTCACTTTTTATTGTTCATTAAATCTTTCTATTTTTCATTGTAGTATAATTATTTTGAAATTTCAATTTTTTTTTACAAATTTTTATTTCATTTTATACATACATTTTATATAAAAATATATATTTTATATAAAACTTGTTTTCGTAATTATAATGTTCAATATTTCCATTATAAATAAATAAGAAATAAAAAATGACAAAAAAAAATAAATTTTACTCTTTTTAAAAATTACTTTACTTAATAATGAGAATATAATAATTTATTATTACATTCAAGTTGTACACTGAAAGAAAATATATAAAAAATTTCTGGACGCATGATTATCTTCTAAAAATAATTAGTTAGAATTTTTATTTTAAAGAATTTTATTTGTCATAATTATTTTTAAGCCGAATTTTTATTTGTTCGAATTAGTATTTTGCAGAATTTTCATCAAAACTATTTTCTATATTACAGAATTTTTATATAACCGAAAATTCACTTCACAGAACTTTTATTTGTTCGAATTTTTATTTGTCAGAATTTTTATTTGCTCGAATTTCTCATTTAACATAATAGGACATTTTAAAGAATTTTTATTGAGTAGAATTTCATTGCATAGAATTTTCATTTTATTCTTTCAGATGAATTTTCATTTGTTCGAATTATTATTTGATATAATTTCCATATAACCGATTTTTCATACTACAGAATTTTTACTTAACCGAAAAATCATTTGTCAAAATTTCTAATTGTTAGAATTTTTAATTTGTCCGAAATTGTAAATGACCGAACAAATTATTGATAGAAAGATTTCGGCGCGATTTTTAAAATCAACCAATCAAAAAATATCCAGAAAATTGTAATTGGTTGATTTTAAAAATCGCGCCTAAATCTTTCTATCAATAATTTGTTCGGTCATTTACAATTTCGGACAAATTAAAAATTCTAACAATTAGAAATTTTGACAAATGATTTTTCGGTTAAGTAAAAATTCTGTAGTATGAAAAATCGGTTATATGGAAATTATATCAAATAATAATTCGAACAAATGAAAATTCATCTGAAAGAATAAAATGAAAATTCTATGCAATGAAATTCTACTCAATAAAAATTCTTTAAAATGCCTATTATGTTAAATGAGAAATTCGAGCAAATAAAAATTCGAACAAATAAAAATTCTGTGAAGTTAATTTTCGGTTATATAAAAATTTTTGTAAAATAGAAAATCGTAGTGTTGAATGTTTTGCAGAATACTAATTCGAACAAATAAAAATTCGACTCAAAAATAATTATGACTAATAAAATTCCATAAAATGAAAATTCTAACTAATGATTTTTAGAACATAATCATGCGTTCCGAAATTGCCATAAGTAGAGTAGAAATTTTTAGTAAATATGTTACAATTTAGGGAAAACGTGTCAAAATAGAACATTTTTATATTAAAAATCAAATTGAAATTCGTAATTATTTACTAAAATACGGAATTTTTTTAAAAATAAATTTTTTGACAAAATATTAATTTATTCTGGCACATGACAACAAATTTTTATACTATTTTTCAATTCTTCACCAAATTTTAGAGCTCAATCTATCAAATATTTTGCGAGAAAAACTACGGAGAAAATTACATGTGAAGTTATACAATAATCACATAACTTTAATAAATCCAAAAAATGTTTGAAGTTAGAAAAAAAGAATTTTCTTTTTTAATCTTTGTTAAAAATAAAAATTAAAAAAAAGTTTTAAGATTTGATTTGTTTATAAATTAATTATTTTATTACTGATTGTTAATTCATTAAAAATATTTTTTATGTAATTATAATAAATATAATAGTAAAAATAAATAAAATAATAATAAAAATAATAATTTATGAAAAATAAAAAAGTATCTTCTTGAAACGTATAAAATTGAAAGTAAATTTCAGTAATTGATTCTATAGACACGTTTTTGAGTGAAATTAAAGAAAGGGAAAAGGTATTATAAAGCAGGAAGTTGTCTTAATGAACAGGTCATGTTACAGCTAGAAAATATTCTTCTTCCTCTGCCTATAAGCCATTCTAAATGATCTGAGCACAATTCTCTATCATCACGAAGTGACTCGACGTGTGAAAGTGCACTTCTCCTATTTGCAAAGTGGTATAATTTTCTGCTGTTTAAGAAACATTCAAGAGCATCGAGAAATAATATATATATACTCTCATAGTAAAAACACCGCAACGATAAAATTTAGTTCCCGCGCGATATTTAAATTAGATTTTTAATAAGTTCCTCTTTTTCTTAAACAAAGAAAACTATAATATTCAAACAAATTCTCCAAAAAGAAAAAAACGACAGAATAATTAAATAATACTTTCTCATATATGATAAAAATATAAGAACTAAAAAGATTTTTTAAAAAATTTTCTAAAATAACATTTTTTAAAAATTCTTTTTATAAATAAAAATTTACAATAATAGAATAAAACTACCAATTAAATTTGTAAAAACAACAAGGGAAAATCGTTGATTATTTATATGTATATATATAAAATGAGAAAGAAAAAACATTAAAAGAACTTCACGTTCCAATTGAGTTTTCCTTCTTGATTCATTCCTAAGGATCACGCACCGTTACGGTTTCTGCGAGTATAAACTGTTACCGTGATGCTGCATAGTAAGTGACGCGCTTACAAACAAAAATTATAGACATTCAGAGAAAGTAGTTTTGTATATAGTAAAGTATTCACGAAAGTTGTCATTAATTAATTTATCAGCAAAAAAAAAAGAGAATAAAAACATAAAAAGAGAAGTTGCGAATTTTTTTTTCCCCTGAAATTTGAATCTCTGTTTTCATATAAAAATCATAAAAAAAAATTATCTTGACATAAACATTTTCAGTAAGTGTTAATTTATAAGAAAAGTTTCCATGATTTATTTCTCTATGAATTATTTATAATATTCATGAGGACACGTGAAAAAAAAAAAATTTTTATACATCCTTTTCCGTCATTCTAAAATTTCCTGGTGCAATATTTTAAATTATAATTTGCACCTTGTCAGATAATAATAGAAAATTATATAATTTTTTATTTAACAAATTTCTCTCTATCTATGTAAAAACTATTTTCAAGATAGAAAAAAAATTGTAATATATGTGTAAATTAAAAATGATGAAAAAACAACTTGAAAAATTCAAAGAAAAATCTATATATAAGAATACATCAAAATGTATACATTAAAATTATATTTTTTTCATAAATGTAAAAGTCGCTTTTAAAATGTGTCGCATTCATTATGGAAATTGAATGTGCGAAAGTTACTAGAAGATTTCTCACATGATTCAATATTATATTCATATAGCACAATTTATAAACAGCACGAAGACGAGACGACGGGCAATTTTGACAGATACTTAAAACGCTTAGAAACTCTATTTGTATTTAATCATAAAAAGTGAAAAATAATTAAAGATCATAATTTCACATAAAATTATAGTTTTTTAATTAAAGAAGAAGAGAAAATTATACATCTCGCGGTTTAAAATATTAAAGGGGAAATTTCTTTAAAAAAAAAATAAATAAATGAAAAATGTAAAATTAAAGCAAAGTTTGAAATCATAAAACAATGTTCCTTTATAATTACATATAAGTATGCGACGCTCCAAGAGAAAAAGAGGAAAAAGAAAAATTTTTAGAGGCAAAAAATGTTAGGTTATGTTTAGTTACAGTTATTTACTTTGATTAAACGTTCATCTTTTATTGTGTAAAATAAAAATAAATTTTTATTCCATATTTTGGATGTAATGAAAACTTAAACATCAGTGGTTTGTATAGGACGTTGCCCCCCTGATTGTAATTGTCCGGTCACTTTCGAGGAATTAAAATTTCTTTAAAAAAGTGATTAGAAATTGTATTTCTTTTATTAATTTATATTTATTAGAATCAAAAGAAGTTATATGTCAAGTGATTAAGCTACAAAATTATTTTAAAGGCATTTAAACAGTACTTTTAGTATAGTGCAGTAGAACTGTAGAAATGACATGTGTCAAAAATAAACAAGAGAACTAACCTCAATCACAATCCAAAGGCGTATCAACGAGGGGCACTAAAACTTATATCTTTTCCTATACATTGTTAATTATAAATTAACTAGTTTATTTTCATTGTATTTTAAATTGTATTTAATTAAATGTATAAAGCGTAGAAAACTTTAAAGTTTATTACTTGTTTTAAGTAAATTTTCAGGCACGGATAGTACATTTTTTTCTTGCTTCGCACTTACTGCATGAAAATGTCTTCGCACGACAATGGAAATTTTTACAAAATTCATTTGTACACTTTTTATACAAAAGCAAATAAAAAAATGGCTCGGCACAAAATTTTGTCTTTCAAAACTTTAAGTTTTCATCAGTTTTTTATTAATATATATATATATTGAAATACGAAAGTTATGGCATCACATGACAATGGAATTAATAAAAATACAGTGTTTTTTTTTAGTGATTTTACTTGAAAATAAGAGAAATATAGTTTATTTCTTAATTTCTTTTAGGGATTTGAGTAGTGACATATGTTTTTTTTTAAATTCCAATAATTTTTGAGGCAAAAAGTACAAGTCTTGTAGTATATTTTTATAGACGTTTATCCATTGTCGTGCTGGCATGAACATTTTCAAAGACAATTGTAATTCAATAATTATCAGTAAGTATATTGATGTAATAAAAAATTGTATTTATAAAAATTGAACATTTTGAGTTAAACTTTAAGAATATGAATTGAATAAAAATTAAAGATAGTACTGTTTTTATGAGTTATAGCATTTTAAAGTTTGGTACTCAGAGGTTAGGACATACTGAATTGGTGTTTTCCACTTATTAAATATTGTTTTACACAAAATTTATGTACAAAATTATAGTATTTTATAAGGTATAATAGTTAAGGGATGTTTAAACAATATTTTCGTTCAATGTTAATAATTAAATGTTACGATGTTTAGAAGAGATAATTCGAAGACATGAAATTATCCACTTTACAGAGAAATGATTTTTTTTAACTCAAAATCAAAATAATTTACAAATTTTTTTTACAAAAATGTGTTCTTTATATATATCTAAAAGAATTTTCTTTTCAAGAAACAAAAAAAAATGATAAATATACTCTGCCGAGATTTATTTCTACATTATCCGAAAATGAAAGTCGACAAACTGGATTCATGAAATGGCAAGTGGTTATTCTATAGTGTTGGATATTTCGAATTTCTTAAAAGTCTAATCTAACGAGTGAAAACATATTAGGGATACATAGTTGGTTGCATATGGGAAGGTCATGCGAAGAACTGCGAAGATCGTGAGATAATCGTCTTGTACATATACATATATACTTTCTATATAATTCGCGATTCTGTAACCAAATCGCATGATATTAATTTGCGTTATCAAAAGATTATTATCTTTACATTGATTCTCTATGGATGTTTCTTTCAAGGATGGGCAACTCTCAATCTATATAAGAAATGATCTAATCGCGCGATTTTTCACTCAATCATTCAAAAACCATATATATACAAAAACGGAAATTTAAAATATAATTATATTTCAAAAAAAAAAAAAAATTTTTTTAAATAATAATTATAAAAAAATTACAAATTAGAAACAAGTTGCAGAGTATAGTCATCAATCGAATAGAGCTGTAAAATTTAATAAGAAAATAGGATAATTTATCAGACAGATGATAAAAAAAACTTCAACGTAAGATGATCATCAAACAGAAGCAACTGCTTTCTCTATTTGAATGTATAACCACAAGTTGTCGATCTCTATAGAGTCTCTAACAATTATTATAAATCATTTAATGATTTGTGCTGAATCTACATATATATATATATTATAGTGTCAGTTAATTTAATCGTCTCTCTGAAAATTATTGCAGGAAGTGAAAATTTCTCGCTCACGTCTCACAATAGAAATTATCACAAATGACTCTGCTGTCTTTTTATATTTTTGAATAACTTTATAATAGATAAATGAAGAAAATTTTCTTTAAATATTTCCTTCAACAATTAAGTAAAAAGTGAAAATGAAACAAATCAATTTTATTAGCTCGCAAATTTTTTTTTACTGAATCAATCACTTTTATTTAAAAATGACATTCAGTTATTTATTAAATTACAATGTACGGGCTTACAATTTTGTAGAAAAAAAGAAAAAAAAATCTCCTTTAGTGCAGAAATATTTAGTATTTAAAAAATTATGAAAACTATTATAATTATAACTGTAATTATTGATTCAATTTTAGAAACGCATTATTATGTTCTAAAAATCATTAGTTAGAATTTTCATTTTATAGAATTTCATTTGTCATAATTATTTTTGAGCCAAATTTTTATTTGTTCGAATTAGTATTTTGCAGAATTTTCATTAAAACGATTTTTTATATTACAGTATTTTTAGATAACTGAAAATTTACTTCACAGAATTTTTATTTATTCGAATTTTTATTTGTCAGAATTTTTATTTGCTCGAATTTTCATTTAATATAATTAGGCATTTTAAATAATTTTTATTGGGTAGAATTTCATTGCATAGAATTTTCTTTCAGATAAATTTTCATTTGTTCGAATTATTATTTTATATAATTTCCATATAACCGATTTTTCTTACTACAGAATTTTTACTTAACCGAAAAATCATTTAACAGAATTTTCATTTGTCCGAAATTGGAAATGACCGAACAAACAATCGACAGAAAGATTTTGACGCGATTTTTAAAATCAACTAATCAAAAATTATCCATAAAATTGTGATTGGTTGATTTTAAAAATCGCGCCAAAATCTTTCTGTCGATTGTTTGTTCGGACACTGGCAATTTCGGACAAATGAAAATTCTATCAATTAGAAATTCTATCAAATGATTGTTCGGTTAAGTAAAAATTCTGCAGTATGGAAAATCGGTTATATGGAAATTATATCAAATAATAATTCGAACAAATGAAAATTCATCCGAAAGAAAATTCTAAGAAATGAAATTCTACCCAATAAAAATTCTTTAAAATGCCTAATTATATTAAATGAAAATTCGAGCAAATAAAAATTCTGTGAAGTGAATTTTCGGTTATATAAAAATTCTGTAAAATAGAAAATCGTTTTGTTGAAAATTCTGCAAAATATTAATTCGAACAAATAAAAATTTGGCTCAAAAATAATTATGACAAATAAAATTCCATAAAATGAAAATTCTATCTAATGATTTTTAGAACATATTCATTTGTCCCAAATTTTTGATTAAGAAACGTTGCAAAAAATTTTCTTGATCAAAAATAATAATTTGCATAAAAAAATAGTTTTTCTTATTCTCAATCATTGATCATAAACATAGTGAACTTAAATGACGTCTTATTTCTTCAAAATTAAAATTATTTTTTTTTGAGCCCGCGCAAAAAAACCCAAAATATTCAAAAATCAAACTAACAGAAGGGAAAAAAAAATTTATTAAAATATTAAAAATTGAAAGTGAAAAATAGAATATTCTGTATGAAACGTCAGGGAAATAAATTAATGTAATTTGAGGGGGGAAAATTAATCAAACAACTGTGCAGCATTATAAAGTTGAGAATGATCAACATAATATTTGAAAATATATATATATATATATATATATATATATATATGAGATGGCAATAATGCTTATATATGCAAAAATGATTCTGTCTACACATTCACTCAATATATAGAGACCAATCATAAGATGAAATGCATCTTTAAACGTGAAGGAAGAGAGTGACTATCTATGAACCTTTAGAAGTCTCCTTAAGTTTCACCGGCTTACTTTACCGCGGAGGCAAGAGAAAACCGCATCAGTTAGCAAGAGAGACTTAACACGAGAGGTTCGGAATAAGCCTTAAGCGATTACTTGCTATAGTCAAGCAAAAAAAAAACTTTATTCTCAAAACAAATACTATTTTTTTCTACAAATAATTATACACACGAATTAACAAAGAATCATCATCATTGCTAAAGAATAATTACCAAAGAGAATTTTTTATTGCAAATCATCATTAACAACAAATATTGATCATCATCAATTTTAATAATTACGTGAATTAGTGAGTGTTCAGTGAAATCATTGCCAAATATTTCAAAAAAAAAAGAAAGAAATATTTTTTTAAATATAATTAAAATTCCTAAATTACCAATAGATTAAAAAAAACAAAAATTTGAAAATCAAAATCAATTATTATTTTTCTGGTAATGAGAAACTGTGATGGTGTTTTATCGTTCATTGCTGTATGAATTTCAAAGAAATCTACCCCCTGTGCAATCGAAAAAACGTGATTTTTGTGATTTTGTGCCTGGCAGCTTTATACGTTCATTTGTATTTGCAACCACCAAAACCAACAATTAGTAAACGATTATATTTTTGAGAATTGTTTTTTTTTTTTTTTTTTGAGTATTTTAATCACATGTTGTGAGTCAGAGGAACATATTCTTTTTTCTCAAAAAGGAAAAAAAGAAGGGGGCCAATTAGTCGAAAAAAAAAGAAGTAAATGATTGGAGGAACTATGGTTCTCTGATCTAGGCTTTCAGTAAGAATGAGGAAAGTGACTTGTGCTATCTTATTTCTATTTGTATTTGAAACATGTGCCATCCTCAATTTTTCCTGGGCTACAAAACCGACCAACAAACGAAATGTCAACGACAAAGAATATCAGGTACAATAAACAAACAATCTTTTCATATTTTGATAATAATTATAATTTTTTTTATATCGTTTCAAAAAAAAATACAAAAAAGAATTTTTAAATTTTCATTTTCCAAACGAAATATGTGACTGAAGTTTGAACGAAAAATTTGTTTACTTTTTTTGACTTCAAATTTTATTATAAAATATAAATATTGCTTTCTGTATTCAAAAATAATTTTATTAATTACAATTTATTATTTTATTTATTTATTATAATTTGTATTTTATATTTATTTTTATTATTTATAATTTATTACATGCATCATTTTTTTTTATTTTTTATTGCTGTAGCAAATTTTATAAAAATTTTCTAAACCAAAAAAAAATTATTCTATTTTCAAAACTTCAGGCACATAATAAAATAGAATTCTTTCGTTTTTAATTTTTTTAAAATTCTTATTACCTATTCAATTTCTATAATATTCTTTATCTGCCTAAAGTTCCTGAACGTTCAAATAAACAAATTTATTTACTACTTTTTTAATTTCAAAATTTATTATAAAATATTGTTTTCCATATTCAAAAATACATGAATAATTTATTTAATGTTTACTATAATTTTTTTTTCATTGCCGTAGTTTTTGAAAAATTTATAGTTCCCCAAAAAAATTATTTCTTTCATTTGAGTTCTTAAAACTTCAGGTACATCAATTTTTAGTTTCAATTAATTCTCAAAAAATAACTAAAATAATAATAATAATAATAATAATAATAATTCCTAAAAATAAAATAAACTAATTAAAAGTAATTAGAAAAATAAACATTCAAATTAAATAAAATTTCAAAAGATCGTTAGTCAAGAAGAAAGATTTGAATTCGATAAGAAATTCGTTGTTTTGTCTTTAAACAAAAATCATGATCTTCAATCTTTCCTCGAAAGTGAGCGCGAATCGAAAGTTCTTTTGCATAAATTTTCAATTAGCAAAATTCTTTAGATTAAATCTCCAAGTGTAACAAGAAGTGCAGTTCAATAAGTAAATTAGGTAACAAGAGAAAAATATTGATTTCTTTTCGTACAAATCGTTTAATTAAAAAAAAATGGTAAATAATAAATGTAACAAAAATCAATAAATAATTAATAAATAATTAATAATAAAAAGTTTAAAAAAATCACTCCCTACAAAAAGTGTATTAGATTTTTTTTTTTTGCTTTTCATTTCATTTTGGAAAGTTGCAATTTATTTTCCCCGAGTTGTTTATATTCATTTTGTGAATGAATGAATGAAAAGTGAATTTGTCAAAAGTATATCATGTGCACGCACTTTGTATTAAAAAAAAAAAAAAAATCCCCAAGGTGAATTCTCTGCGTAGCGTATATACAGTCAGAAATGAAAGAGAAAGCTGGCACGTGCAATGACTGCGGAAAGTTCGAGACTTTAATTTATATATCATTCTATCGCGCTACTACTAAAACAAAAAACAATTATATTAAAAAACACAGACAAATTATTCCAATTATGCGTGGTTGAAAATTAAGACCCTCTTTAAATATAATCAAAGAGTCTGCACAGGATGACAAATTGAACTAAGAAATTAACCTCCGGAACTTGTAAATTAACCGCTTCCGAGGAAAGGATTTTGTCATTTTTCTCTTATCTCATGAAACTGCGTAAAAAATTAAGACAAATTAGTTATAATTCACAAAAAAAGGGATTTAAATTTTATTCACGAATTTTCAAAATTTTTAACACAATATCAAAATTGATTTTTTCATTTCTTATTGTAAATTAATTAATTGCATAAAAATCAAAATTTATAATTTCTTCATTGCAGAACAAATTTTTATTTGTTTTATGAAAATCAAAATTTATAATTTCTTTATTGTAGAAAAAAATTTTATTTCTTCGTTTTATAAAAATCAAAATTTATAATAATTTCTTCATTCCAGAAAAAAATTTTATTTCTTCGTTTCATGAAAATAAAAATTTCTTTTCCTAATTTTTGCCAAATAAATTAATTACTTCGATTCATAAAAATGAAAATTCTTATTTCTTCTTTGACACAAAAAGTCAAAGTAATTTTCTCCTCTTCTTTTTTTCTATTCATGAATAAGTTCAAAAATTAATTTGTTAAAATTTTCATTTGACAGAATTTCATTATCTACAATTTATTTTTAGTCGAATTTTTATTATTATATATTTATCAGAAATTCCATTAAACCAAATTTTTATTTCTTGGAATTTATTGTTTAACATAAATTCAATTTAAATGAATTTCTATATTACAGAATTGTTAATTAAACAAATTTTCATTTTACACACTTTTTATTTCATCGAATTTGAATTTGTCAGAATTATTATATTTGTTCAAATTTTTTTTGTAGAGAATTTAAAAGAATTTTCAATTTACTGAAACAATATTAGAAAAAATTATTTTCGAGACAAATTTTTATTTGTTCAAATTTACATTTTACGTAATTTTTTAAAACGTCGAATTTTCAATTTACAAAACTTTCATTTGTCTAAAATTGTACAGAAGAATAAGTGCCTAAATTTTTCTGACAAATATTTATTTAGACAAATACGAAAGTTCTAGAAAATAAAAATTTGACGTTTAAAAAAAAAAAATCCGTAAAATTTAAACAAATAAAAATTCGGCTAGAAAATAATTTTTTCTAATATTGTTTTTATAAATTGAAAATTCTGTTAAATTCTCTCTAATAAAAATTCGAGTAAGTATCATAATTCTGACAAATTAAAATCCAATGAAATAAAAAATTTGTAAAATAAAAATTCGTTTAAGTAATAATTCTGTAATATGAAAATTCTATTAAATTGAATTCCTGTTAAATAACAATTAGAAACAATAAAAATTCGGTTAAATTGAATTTATTTTAAATAATAATTCGAAGAATTAAATGAATTCTGTTAAATAATAATTTCAAAAAAATAAAAATTCGGCTAAAAGTAAAAAATTCTAGGTGATAAAATTCTGTCAAATGAAAATTCCAAAAAAATTAATTTTTCCCAACTTATTTATGCGTCTCTTTTTTTTCAAATTTATTCAAAACAATATTCTTCATAATTATATATTTTTGTCGGAATTTTTTTTTCAAATAATCATTAAATTTAATGATAAAAGTAAAAAATTATATACACATATTTTATCCGACGACGTAAAAAAATAAAATGATAGGATTATCAAAAAATACGTGCTTCAAATGTAAAACGAGAAATTATAATGACTACGCTGATGATAAATTTTAAGGATAATTTAGAATTTGCGTAGGTAGCCAGTAATAATACGCCGTTTATTATTATAAATATTTAATTGAATCGACAAAATCATAAAGATAAATTATATTTCTAAAAAAAAAAAAAAAACAAATTCTCGTATATATATACCTCGAGTAAAAGGTGTCACAATTTTTTTGTTTTCAAATGCATTACTTTTGTGCTATTGTGCAATAATTGTAAATTATGATAATTGCGAATTGAAACTTTCTTTTTTTTTTATGGTCATTGAACTTTGAACATTATTTACCTTTGCATGGTTCGTTTAACGCTAAATGCCATGATTCGTGACAAATTGTATTTTTTTACTTCACTAAGCAGAATTCTATATATATACATATATATATATATAGATGTCATTTCGTTTATTGTCTCATCCTGAAGCGTTGACTTCGCCTCTTTGCGAGCAAATATTGTTAAAAAAAAGACAATGGTCAGACAAATGTAATTATTATTGTTACGTTAATGAAAATTAAGAGAGCATGAAAGACATTAATTACAATTCAAGAGAATCTGCTTTTAAAATATTTTGCAATCGTTTCCTAATAAAATTGCGACATCCAAGTAAAAATTACCTCCAGTTTCCGGATAACATTGTTTTATTTTTTCTTAAATTTCTTTCCTTGTTAACAATCCAAGTTATTGCTCTGGATAATAAATTTAATGAACTTCAAATTAGTCTCTCAATTTTCAAGCAAATGAAATATGATTTCTTTTTTTTTTTGCTGGCTAATTTCATGGAATATTATTTCAAACTGTATCAGCATTTATAAATTACGATAAATCAACGATAGAAAGAGAAAAAAATTTCCATTTGAAAAATAAGAAAATTTCTGCCTAAAAATTTTTCTATTTAAAATTGTTAATCGAGAAACGGAAAAATTTTATTAGACAAAAATTATGTACATGAAGTTGACATTTTTTTTTTTTTTTTTTTTTTTAAATAATTTTTGTGCAAGACAAAAACAAAAAAAATTCTTATAACACAATTTTCAAAATCTTTAAATAATTAATTATTTAAAATAATTCAAATTTAAATTTAAAAAACGGTTTTGTAACCCAGAAATAATAAAAACTTATTATTTTTCAAAAACAAATTTTTTACTGAATTGTACTAGTCGAGCACAAGAAGAAAAAAAATCATAACAGTTACAAAAATTAAAAAAATTCGTAAATTAATTCTATTTTCAAATTAAAAAAATACATTTTCTTATCCAGAAATATTGAAAAATTATTAATTTTCAAAAAAAAATTTTATGCTGAATTCCGCTAATTCAGCGGAAAAAATTAGGACATTTACAAAAATTAAAAAATAATTAAAATAATTAAATTTTAATATTCAAAAATAATTTTTTTAACCTAAAAATATTCAAAAATTAATATTTTTCAAAATTAAATTTTGTGCTGAATTGTGCTAGTCAAACACAAAAAAAAAAACAATTAATATATTTAGGAAAAATTAAAAATATTTGAAAAAATAATACAATTTTCAAATTTAAAAAACATTTTTTTAACCAGAAATATTCGAAAATTATTATTTTTCAATTGTTAAATAATTCTTTCTTTTTGTGCACGACTATCACATTTCAAAACAAAATTTATTTTTGAAAAATAATAATTTTTAGAAGTAAAAAACGTATTTTTGAATTTTAAAATTGAATTATTTTTAAAAAATAATTTTAATTCTTTCTTTTTGTGCCGGACTAGAATAATTTAGCAGAAAATTAATTTTTCAAAAATAAAAAATTTAAATATTTTTGAATAAAAAAACACATATTTAAAAATTTTTTTAAATATTTAAGATAAATTTTTTGAAGTTATCAAAAATCTTACATTTGATTCTTATTGTACAAGGCGCTCACAATTCAGCACAGAATTCGTTTTTGAAAAATATTAATTTCTGAATATTTCTGGTTAAAAAAATATTTTTTTAATTTTAAAATTGAATAATATTTTGAATTTTTTTTTATTTTTTTCTAATTCTAAATGTTTTAATTGAATCATTTTTTGCTCAACTATCAAAATTGAACACAAAATTTGTTTTTGGAAAATAATAAGTTTTTATTATTTCTGGGTTACAAAACCGTTTTTTGAATTTGAATTATTTTAAATAATTTATTATTTAAAGATTTTGAAAATTGTTGTAAGAATTTTTTTTGTTTTTGTCTTGCACAAAAATTATTTAAAAAAAAAAAAAAAAAAAAATGTCAACTTCGTGTACGTAATTTTTGTCTAATAAAATTTTTCCGTTTCTCGATTAACAATTTTAAATAGAAAAATTTTTAGGCAGAAATTTTCTTATTTTTCAAATAGAAATTTTTTTCTCTTTCTACCGTTGATTTATCGTAATTTATAAATGCTGATACAATTTGTTTTTGAAAAATAATAAGTTTTGAATATTCCTGTGAAAAATTATTTTTCTTTTTGAAAATTTTAGAAAAACCGAAAAATAATTTAATTTGAAAATCAATTTTACAAACAAGTAGTTTTAAAAAGAAGAAATATAATTTTTAATTTGATTTTAATTTAATAATAATAATAATAATAATAATAATAATAATAATTTTTAATTTTAATTTAATTTTTATTTTGACGAGAGATGTCATCTTCCAATGAATCAAGATATTCATCTCTCGAATATGAAGATGCGTAACATTTCCGTGTAACAAAAATATTTTCTATTGTCATATTCAGTGAATTGAGAATCAAAATAAGGAAAAATTAGATAATCTCGAAATGAGCACAGTAATAGAAGTAGTTATAATAATAATGCTGAGACGCGTAAATTCTCAAATCAAAATGAATTTTATAAAATCCCACGGAATATAAAGATTCGTTAGACTTTCTATGCAACTTTCAACGTACATCGTATTTACAATTGGTTCTTCGTTCTCACGCCCTTTCGTCATCCACAATGCAATTCAATCGTGGACTTTTAAGTTACAGACAACCGCACTGGCAACAAACACACATTGAAAATAATATCCACTTTTTTTTTCTTTTTTTTTTTTTTTTGTAAACCGGCTCCCATCCCAATGTGCAACAACTGCTCGAGAAGAATCATGGAATGTCGCTACAAAAGGAAGTCATAGAAATAACATAATAGACTAACAAACTTTCACTAGATATGAAAAAAAAACCACATTAAAATGTATTCCCTAATTTTCGTCGGCAGAAAAAAAAGTAGCAATTTCCCTGATGATAGCAAAAGAAAACAAAGGATAAATACTTTCTCCTTCTTCATCGACAACATCCTCAATTTTTATTGTATTTCTATTTTCGAATAACAAATTAGATAATTAGATAAAAAGGAATTCAAAGTAATATATGTGATATAATGGTCAACAAATGGTATAATTATTTCAAGTTTAAATCGTATAATTTTAATTAGGAGAAATTTTAATTGATCCAATGCAATATTTATATATCTTTATCATTTCGAATTTCTAGATTAATTATTATTGAGCAATTAACTCATTAGAAAGTAAAAACATGTATTTATAAAATCTATATTAACTTCCAAATAAGAACAAAAAAGTGAAAGGTTTTACTTTTCATACAGAAAATAATAAAAATTAAAAGAAAATTGAAATTCTGTAAAATTATCATCGTTTTTTTAATTTGCATATAATACTCACTAAACGTTAAACGAGTAAATAATGAAAAAAAAATTTTTTTTTCTCATCACTAATTAAATAATTAAAATTTTTAAAAAACGAAATTAAGTATAATAAAAAGAAAGTAGTTTATGGATCTTCTTGATTTTTACATACAAAAAAAAAAGCTTGAGTATTTATAATAAAGGAAAGTAACCTATTGAAATCCTTTAAACTATATTCAATTGCGAAAGTTATTAAAATTTTACAAGAGTTGAAAAAAATATTCAATTATCACTCATTTTTTTCAGCAATTACATCATTTAAATATCATCATTTTTTTTTTAATCACTGTCATTTACTATTTTTTTATAATATCTTAACCTTTTTATCCATCATTTTTAATAAGTAGTCACAATTATCTAATTGATTAAAATTAGTCGTTACTTAAAAGAAAATTATATGTTTAGATGAATTATATAAACAATGAAAATTATAATTACATAAATATTATTTAATATGATTGAATCAGTTAATTTACTTTTTTTTATACTATTTTTAATAATAATTATTTAATTATTAAGAGAAATTGAAAAATAAAATATTAAAAAAAATTAAAAAACTATTTAATATTTTTTGGTTCATTCAAAAATAATTCTTTATTTGAGCGATTTCACGAGAAATGATCAAAAAAACAATTCTTTTTAAACGCGTTCATACTTAAATAATTTTTTTCAATTAAATAATGACAAAAAAAAATTTGTTTTCAATGTCAGTTTTGATAGTTTTTTTGACTGACTTCCTTTCGATTGGTATTGAAATTTTGAAAAAAAAATTTCAATTTTTTCATTTGTGAAAAAAATAATTTTTAGCCAAACAAATGAAAAGTAAATTTTCTTTAGAAAAAATTACCATTAAATGGAATTACAAATTACCCAAGTTTGAGCACGATTGGAGAAGATTTTTTTTACTTAGATCAATCCCTCATTTATAAATGAATAATAATAATAAAAATAATAATAACAGGCCTCGGATCGACTTTAAGGTGCAAAAAAAGTCGTTTTAGTTGATTATTAAATTTAATTAGTATTAATAAATATTTTACTTTAAATATCTAATGTTATTGTATATTTTGTTAATTTATTTTTTCATTCCTTTATAAGAATATTATCAAGAAAATTTATTTCAAATATTTCAAAACCAAACTAAGACAAATTTTCAAAATTTTAATTATGTAGGACAAATTTCTAAAAAAAGTATTTTTTAAGTTACATTTAAAAATTTATTTAAAGTCTGATTTATGCAAATAATTTTAATTTAAAATTTTTGCATAGTTTTTAGTATTAATGGTAAAAATAAAAAAAAAACAATTTCGGAAAATAATTAAGTTGAAGCTTTTTTTTTTTAATAAAATAATAATAATAAAAATAATAATTAAATAAATAAATAATACGAATGTAAATTTTCAGAATTCCTATATTCCATCAAATTAAATAAAATCATTTTTAAAAATGTCATTGCGTATATTTTTTAAAAGTAATATACTTTCGAGATACACATATATCTGCAATTATAATTTAAATTTACAAATATATCTTGTGAATAAAATAATTTACTTTAGTATATATATATAGTCGCAATTTCTCTATTTGACAAGTGAAAGCAAAGTAATTGATTCCTATAAATTATTGATATCGTGTGTAAAAGAAATCAATTTGATATTTTCGAGATAATTTTTAATGTCAATTTTTCTTTTTGCCTATAATTTTTTTTTTTTTTTTTTGCAACAAAAATTCGATTTTTTTTTTAATAGGAATTAATTTAAAATTGATCAATAAATAATAGCTATTAACCATAATAATCAACTATAATAGTTTTCTCCAAACATACAGGTAGAGAAAGAGCGAGAGCGTGAAACTTTAATTTACAAAATGATTGAATCAATTTTATGTAATTTCACAACTTCATTTTATTTCCCTGAGGATCTTTCGAAGCGTGAATTTCATTATATTTCTAAAAAAAAATTATATATATATTTATTAAAAGTTTGTTGTGAATTTTTGATTTATATAATCTTATTTTATTACTATCAAATATTATTATAATTATTATTATTATTATTTGTGCATTTTTTAATTTTTTTTTAATATTCTTATTTTACCGGAACTGTAAATTTCATTTTTATTATATAAAATTGTTTCTCTCTTGAAATTTTATTTTATAAATATTTTAAGAAATTATAATTGAATGAGAAATTATTTGATAAATGTAAAATATTTTTTTTAAAAAAATTCGAAAATGTTTACAACGTTTGTGATCAACGATTTAAAAGAAAAAATATTTTTCTATGCAAATTATTATTATTATGTAAAAATTTTTTCGCATTTTCTCGATCAATAATTTTTTTTGAAGAAAAATTTCCTAGGAGAAAATTATATTTTTCAATCGTTGATCATAAACGTTAAAAAAAACAAAAATTAAAATATGAAACTAAATTCTTTTTTAATTTTTTTATTTCCAGAATCAACAACCAATGGTAGTTGAACTTCTGGAGGAAGAATATCCCGATGAATATACAAATCAAGAATCAGACATTTCCGGTCAATCAATCGGCAGATGGAGAAGCACAGGAAAAGCCCTGGAACCAAAATGGCGTGATGGCGATTCAATTCCACTTGTTCCATTTCGTACGGTAACAATATCGAGTAAGCCGACAATAAAAAAAAAACAAAATTCCGATGATATTGAAAATATGAAAAATTATTCCACCGCTCAACGTTCAACTCATTGGCAATCGCAGAGACAAGAAAAAAGTACAATAATCACAAATGAATATAATTACAATACAAGTGAAAAGCCCGAACGTCAAAATAATAATTATCCAAATATTCGTAATCATGAAATTCGTCTTTCCCGAAGAAGAAAACCACCACAATTTGAAAATGATGATAAACAACAAGAAATATCATTAATAAAATGTCTCAACGAAACAAAAGATTTACATGAGAATAATAATAATCAAAAAAAGGAAAGTAAACCAATGACCAGAACACAAAAACTTCCCCACAATACTAATGACTATCTCGAAGGAGTTGCATTACGTTATCGTGAAACATTTCAAAATTATCCAAGCGAATACGAATTAAATGACGAATATCAGAGACCTCGATCTCGAAAAAGAAGACCACCACAAAATGACGATTTTATCGAATTTAAATCTTCGCCAATTTCGTCGTCAACGGAAAAAAGTACAACTTATTCCACAACAAGATCACAAAGAAAACAAGAAAATACACGACGCAATAATCTCATTAGAACAAATCACAATAGGACCATTATCAAATCACCTAATGACAAGTCATCCGAGAATTCCGAATTGAAATCACTTTTAAAAATGCAACAAATAGAAGGTTTGAGTCTTTCGGAAATTCTTCAAAGAAGAAATTTAACATTATCTGATCTTTTGCAAGGTAAAGCGGACGTTATCAATTTATTAAAATCCAAACAAAACGAAGAGGAGGAATTAAATGCAAAATCAAATTCCATTGAAATGATGAAAATATCAGCATCGTCAACAATAACTGCATCAGCGATCAATGAAAAAATACCTCAAATTTTAACCTCCAATAAACCAATAATTCCATTTAGAAATTTTGTCAAAAAAAATGATCCACTATCAACGTTTCGTGCCACAAGTACTCATTCGTTTCGAAAAATATTACCAACACAGGAAAGTCGTCAAATAATTCATCCAACCGAATCAATGAATATTAAAATAAAACAATCATCAGAAATTCCAATTATTGACACAACAGAAATTTTAAATCACAACGAGAAGGACAAAACGAAAATTATATACGACGAAGATGAAATAATGGAATTTTCCGATTTTACTGGTAAAAATTCAGAAACAAATAGAACTGAAAAAGAAATAATTAATTCCGATTCAGAAACAACATTAAGCATTGAACATCTTTTGAGCCCGACAATTCAAACTGAAATAGAGTCCAAGGAAGAGACAAACAAATTTTTGGAACAATCAAAAGAAAGAATACAATTGGAAAATAAAATTCCACACTCCGAACAGGACGATGATATCAATAGCAGTAAAGAGTCAAATTCTTTTGAAATTGAATATCAAAATGACGATATAAAAATTCCTAATTCTGAAAATAGAAAAATGTTCATAAACACTGATACAAGTAATTCATACGAGGAAAACGATTCAATTAGTCAAGAGAAAAAAAAAGAATCAACAATTTTAAATCATCGAAATGATGATGAAATTTATTTTGAAATGGAACCAGACGCAAGAGCAGAAATTCTTGAATTATTTAATTCAGGCACATCGGCAACAAAATTAGAAATTCTTTTAAAAGCGAGAAATATGAGTATCGATGATTTAATAGCCCTAAGAGAAAGAGGCTCAAGTCATCTTCATTTAGCTCAAGTCTCTCAAAATAAATTCAAATCATCATTAAAAAATGATGAAATTCCCACAGAGGTGAAAATTATTAAACCAGATTGTCCTCCAAATCACGATATCAAAGAATTCATTGAATGGATGAAGGAGAAAAAAGAAATTAAAAATGAACCACAAAAAGAAATTCTTCATATTAAAGAATTCGAAACCCTACCACCGGTTTGGTCAACAAACTTTGGAAATTCTCAAGAAATAATTGAACAAAAAATCAGTGAGGAAAAAAATAATTCTAAAGAAATTAATTTAGATACTGAATTTAATTCACAACGTGAAATTAATTTAGAAATAAATGATGATTTTATGAATATTTTATCACATTTCAAATCGTCGGAACCTTATAATAATGAGGAGAATTCAAAAGTTTATACAAATAAAGTGCCATCGTTGATAAATTTATCGGAAAGAAAAAATAATACAGTGATACCAATTGAAGATGGTCATGTACGTGAAATTGTGAGCGATATTTCGAATACTTTTAATAATATTTTTAAATTAAATAACGAGGAAGGTGGTAATGAGGAAAAACATTCAATTTCACGCGTTAGAACAAGTATAATTGTCAGTGGCGCAATACTTGGTGTTACTATTATTGTTTTTCTTGGTATTTTCATTGTTTGTCGTGCACGTCAAAAGAAAAAATATACGTACAATAATACATTTTCAAGAGCCGTTTTTCAAAGTCCTGTATTGGCGGCAAGAAAATTGTCAAATACCAGTAGTTTAAATACAATAATGGTAAATGTTGTTGCCACATCGACAACAAAAAGGCCTGAAAAATCTGGTTATCATGAAAATGATGATGATTTTGATATTAAAAGTGAAATAGAACATGATTCACTTGATGCAAATGATAGCTGGGAAACGATACCTGATTTTATGAAATAAATTTCTAAAAACGTGTTTTAAAAAAAATAAAAAAAAAAACAAATAAAAAATCGACATTATATCAAATTATAATTAAACAAAATTAGTCATTAAAAAAAGAAAACATAAAATTTAATTACAAATAAAAGGAGATATAAGTAAAAGTAAAAACCTTTTTTTTTGTAATTAATATTGATTTTATTAATTTTTTTTTAGTAATTAATTTTGTATTATAGATAATAATTTGATAAAATTTTTTTTTATAAATTTTGTAGAAATAGAAAATTTACGTCTCGATGAAGTTCATTAAACGTTTATGATTAACGATTGAAAAAAAATATATTTTTCACTTGATAAATAAAATTTTCGAAAATAATTTTTTGATTATTTTTTCAAAAAAATTGATCAAAAAATATTGCAAAATATTTTTTTAAATAAAAAATAATTATTATTTGTTTTCTATTTAATTAATTTGTATTTAAAGGCTTTACCAAAATAAATAAATAAAATAAAAAATTTACAAAAAAAACATTTTTTTCTTCTAAATCGTTGTTTGATAAACGTTGTGAATTTTACTGACGTAAATTTTTAAGTTCATTTTTAATTTAAAATTGTGTTAATACAACAAATTATTTCAGTTGAAAGTTAGTTTTACGAAAAAAGAAACAATTTTTTCTTCTCTAATTTCTTCTGTTATCCAAAGAGAATCATTGTTTATCTTTGTTACTTTTTAGGAACATGGTGAAATTAATGAAAATGAATCATTTCTTTTCTGTTGTATTATTTATCAAGAAGTGTGTTCATTTTTATGTTAATTGTAGAATATTTATTTTTTAAAGATGAAAAAATAAATGTTGTGTATATGGAAATATTATCGGAATTAGAAACATTATTTCAATTACGATAGAAAATGTATTTGCGGAAAAAAAATATTTGAAAAGAATTATATATGAAAAAAAAATTTCTTATCTGTTTACAGAGAATTTTTTTTTTGTACTATTTTATTATGAATTTCAAATATTCACAATTATGAGGAAATAATAATTATGTATTACTTAGGTATCTTACGTTTTAGACTTAAGAAGTCCAATTTTTAAGAGACTGTATTTATTTGTATAATGTAATGGAAAATATATTTTTTTTTTTTTATAAAAAATACCATTAAAACCTTAAAAGCATTCTCTTGTGTCTCTTTAATTTATTTTTGTTATTAATATTCCTCTCTGTTATGGTATTACTATTGTTATTAATTAATTTATTATTTGCTAAAATATGAATCTCGTTTTTTCTTTCATTTTATTATTTATTTATTTATTATATTAATTAGTCATAATATATATTTGTTTTTCATATTTTGAGTTTTAAAAAATATTTCATTTCAAGATTTTAATATAAATAAATAAATAAATTTAAATGAAATTTTTAAATTAATTTAATTAAAGAAAATTTAACTTCATTATTAATTAATAATTATATTATCCATTTCAAACAATTATGAATTTAAATAAAATTTTCGTCTTGTATATTATAAAGTTAAATTAATTTGATTAAGCTAATTAAGAATCGTACCATATGAATATTAATTAACTTTAGTTTTGTTTAAAAAACAACTTACCAGTATTCTTCATACGTAAATACATCCCTCAAGATATCAGACACAGGATTCTGAGTATTTTGAAAGAGCTTATTGAAATACGAATACTGTCTTGCTATATTTCTACACTGCTTTAAAGCTGCCTCTATAATAGAAGATAAAAATAGAAAAATATTATTTTCATATTTAGAAGAGACGCGACAATATGAGAAAAGTTTCTTTATTATAAAGGTGATAATTAAAAGTAAATAAATTGAAATAATAACCATTCAAAAATTAAATTTTTTTAATAATAGTTAATAATTATCTAAAAAAAAAATTGATTAGTAACATAAATAAAATTAGTAAAATAAAATATATTGTAAATAATAATTCATTATATCAGGGTTTTCACTAAATTTTTTAATTTCCTTTTCATTTCCCTGACATTAAAAAAGTTTTCTTGACAAAAGTTTTTTTTATAATTTAATGAATTGTAGTAGAAATCTATTAATTTGAAGTTGAAAAAAAGCGTTATCATATTTTATTTTACTGTTTTCACTAGAGCAAGGATTGCAGTACTTTTTTTTTCTTAAAAATAGCTAAAATGGTGAATTTTTAATCGAAAAAATTTTTGGTAAATTGAATTTTGGATAAATTAAAAGTTGCATCACTTGAAATTTAAATTAAAATTTCTATTAAATTGAAATGTGGATCGATTAAAATTTAATTAAATTGAAATTTAAATGAATTAAAATTTGAACAGATTCAAATTGGGATAAATTGAATTTTTGGATTGATTTAATTTATGGTTTACCAAAATTAGAATGAATTTAAATTCGGATAATTTAAAAGTTAAATCTATTAAAATTTGGATAATTTTAAACTTTAATTATTTAAAATTTTAACAAATTAAAATTTAGATAAATTTTTTAAATTATTTAAAATTTTTTTAAATTAAAATTCGGATAATTTAAACCAATGTGAACCAATTTAAGTAATAAAAAATTAGAATTAGTTGAAGTTGGATCACTTGAAATTTATAAAATAAAATTTAAATTAAATAGAAATTTGGATCATTTAAAATTTAATTCTATTGAAATTTGGATAAATTAAGTGATGTACTAGTGAAATTTTAATCTTTTTAAATTTTTGTTATAAGGGTGTCCAGCAAGAAGTACAAAAAAAATTCCCTAACTTTTCCCTGAAATCCCCTGACTTTTTTTCTAACCTTTTTCCAACTATTTTAAAATAAATATTTAATATTGAAAAAAATGAAAAGTATCAAATATTAAAGTATTTTTAAGATAATAAAAAAACATTTTATTTATTAGCATTATAAACTTTTTCTTGAACCGAAAAATTTTTAAAATTCATAAAAATGTTAATTTTTGGCAAATTTTTAAAAAGTTCCCTGACTTTTAATGAAATTCCCTGACTTTTCCCTGACCGCTGGACACCCTGGTTATTTTAGGGTGTCAATTTATTTTTCGACATTAATGTTTATAGAATTTAAAATTCTGAAAAAATTTAAATTTAAACTTCTTTCACAATTTTAAAATATTTTTCATCGACAATTTTTTTAAAACACTTTTTCTATATCATTTTGGACAATAAATCGTATGGATTTATAAAATTTTTTAATTTTTTCAAAAAATAGAAATAAATTAAATTTTAGATTAATTGAATTGATGATTGATTAGAATTAGAATGAATTTAAATTTTTATCGATTAGAATTTTAATCAATAAATGCTTCTAATAATTCAAATTTAGAATTTATTGAAATTTGTTCTAAATAATTTTTAAATCAATGAAACTATAACAATGAAATTAGTAATTAATTAGATAATTCTATAATAAGATTAATTATTAAACAAAATTTCCAGCCTGAATTCAGTAAAAAAGATAAATGATTTTTAAAGAAATAAGTTTTTAAAATGAAAAATTCTATAATATTTTGCCTAAAAAATTCTTTTTTCATAAATTATGTATTGATTAATGAAAACTACAAGAAATATTTTTTAGGCGAAAAATTATAGAATTTTTCATTTTAAAAAATTATTTCTTTAAAAATCGTTTATCATAAACGTAGTTTTTTCTTTTCTTAAAAGTTTTTCAAGTTTGATTTATGAAAATTGTCATTTTCAGCAAAATATTTAAAAAAATTAAAAAAATATTTCTAATGTATTCTTTTTAAATTTTCTCTCACCCAATGTAGGACTTCCTTTGAGTTCGGTCATATCGTTTGTGTTCATATACAAAACTGTACAATAACTTGTTGGAAGAGCATCGATATATGGTTTCCATTTGGAATTTCCTTTATATTTTTCTATGAGTAGAGCAATTGCCAATGCAACTTGTGGCATATGTTGAACCATTGGATCATTTTGTAATGCTTGAAGTTCAGGTGCCGCTTCTTGTGTACTAAAAATTAATTTTCTCGGTATCTCTAAAATTAATTGATTCTCTAGAAATTCTTTTTCCGCCTTTAATCCTAAATCATAACCGGCAAATTCAGATATACATATGCCATTCATATTAACTTCATTATCTTTCAGCCATTTGATAAATTTCTCAATTGCCACAGATCTCTTGGTCGTCTCTGTCTTCATCTCCTCCAGACGCTTAACCTTTTCCAAGATTGACGATATCTCTAGATAATTGTCCCATAGTCGTACCAAAAAAGCAGAATTACTGCAAACTAATTTCAAAAAAAAAAAAAAAAAAAAACGGAATTTTTAATTTACCATTCAAAACATTTCTCCCTTAAAAATGTTTTTCAAAATAAAATTCCTTTTTTTTATTAACAAAGTTCTTTTAAACAAATTAAAAATATACTGAATTAAGCACGAATCTATTTTTTTTTGTTTTGTTAAAAAAGCAAATAGAAATAATGTTAAAAGGTTGAAATGTTTACACCTAAGTATAGTCACCCTTGTAACCTAATTATTGTAACTAATGTAAATGATCAACTAATTGTTGTTCTTTTTTTGTATGGATAAATTAAAATATTACTTACGATGAAATAATTTCTCGCATTGAAAATTAATCTCGTTTCTTTTAACTGAAGAGATTTTCTTTTGTGAAGCACTGTGTTTACTTTTAGCAATAGTATGAACTTTCTTCTTGCCCATTTTTTTTTTCACTAACACTCAATAATATCTAGAACACTATTAATGTATAGATGCATTATAATACGTAATAGCGTCGACTTATAAGTTCAACTAAACGAAATCCACGATTATTGCTACTAAAAATAGAATAAATGCGGTCGTGGGGGTGTTGGAATTTGATAAACATAACCTTAAAAAAATTCACAGCTGTTTGCTAAATGGAAGATAGGTTGCCACTATGTTAATCATTTAAAAGACTAATAATAATATCAAATTTTTTTTTTTTTACAATTTTAAGTAGTTAATATAAAAAAATTGTATTTTAAATTTCAATTACAGTAATTTTTAAACTATTAGATTTTAATTGTCAAATAAATTTTGTGCTGTCTTTTAAAAATTTTGTCTATGAACTTGATATCTTTTGCGTATCCGTTTTAAAAAATGGCGCCAACTTTGAACTACATGTTTAGCATTAATTTACTAAATTAATAATTACTTTTATATTAAATAATAATAAATGTAATTGGAAAATTATAAAATATTTATATTTAACTTAATTTAATAATTGAATGTACAGACCTCGGATCGATTTTAAGGCACATAAAAAGTCGTTTTATTAGTTGATTTATATTCCAAAAAAAGTCGATTTATTTTACTTTAACAATGTTGAAATTTTTAGAAATAATTGAATTTTAAAAGATTTTTTTAATTTTCAGACAATAATTAAATTTTACAAAACTAAAAATAATTTATCAAATAATTTTAGATAACATTTTTTAAAAGTAATTGAATTTTCAAAAATTTACAATTTAAATTTTTGAAATTAATCAAGTGATTTTTAATTTAAAATTTTTGATGATTTTAATAAAAAATTTGTTAGAAATTTCAGACAAAAATACAATAATTTAAAAACTTAAGTGAAAAATGGTTTCAGATAGTTGAATTTTCGAAGAATATTATAAAAATCATTAAAAATAATTGAAATTTTTGCAAATAATTAAATTTCAAGTGTTTTGAATTGAAAATTTTTGGTAATTTTATTTGCTAATATTTTTAAAATTATAAACAATTATTAAATTTCATAAAAATTTTAATTGAAAAATAGTTTAAGATAATTGAATTTGTGAAGAATTTCATTAAAATTATTAAAAATAATTAATTTAGTGAAGAATTTTTTTTAGTTAAAAATTTGTTAAATAATTGAAATGAAGAAGATCTGATAAAGAACAGCCTTATATACTAAAAAAGACGTATTTTGTTTAAAAATTTTGTAAAAAATGTAAAAAAAGTCGAAAAAGTCGCATTTTATTAAAATAAGTCGAAAAAAGTCGTATTTTTAAATAAAAGTCGGAAAAAGTCGTATAATCCGAGACCTAAAAATAATAATCACGTACAATTAATAATAAAATACAGTGATTACTTTTGGAAAATTTTCAAATTATTCGACAAATCTTTTTTAGTTTTTGTACAATTTTCAAAATAAAAAAAAATCTAATATTAATTATTTTCAATAACGTAGAAAAAAAATAGTTAAATACAGTGATTCCTTTTGGATAATTCTCAATTTATTCGACACTGTAAATCTTTTTCAATTTTTGTACAATTTTCGAGAGAGAAAAAAAAATATCTGTATTACAAAATGTGAAATTGAATGACATTCATTTATATTTTTACAATTGTTTGCAACGTCATTGAGTGAAAAAGATAAATTAAAATGCAATAAAAATTTTTATCATAGTGTTGTGAGAAGTGTGAGTTTTTCGTTGAGTTGAAGTTGCGTTTTGATCAATTGTGATAAAGCGACAACCATCAAAAGATCTTTTACATTGCTGTTAAACATCTCGTCAAATTGATCACTGGACATTTTTGGAACTGAATTCACCATATCGAGAAGAGCTCGTCCCACCTACAATGAAAAATTATATATTTATTTCCATAATTCTCTAATCTAATCTAATTAATTCTTAATATATTTAGTCAATAAATATTTTATTAAAGAAACGAATAAATTATTAGTATTAAATATTCATTATTAATTATTATTGTAAAATATTAAATTAATTAATTAATTTCTCTATTTTTTAATAAGAATAATTCTTACAACAAAATTTAGCTTGAATTCAGTAAAATTGATAAAAAAAAATTTTGCAGTTCTACTTTTCTTTAAAATTTTTCAAGTCTAATGTATGAAAATTATTTCTATACATGTAATTCATATTTTCGGCAAAATTTTTATGATAAAATCAAAAAATTTTCAATTTTTAACGAATTTACAAAAGTATTCTGAAATCAGTTTATGAAATATCATTGAGACAAACTTTTAAAAAAAAAAAATTTTTATAGTCAGACAAATTCATAAGATTAAAACTTATAAAAATTTTTAAATAAAATTTCAAAAAACTCAATTATTCAATCAATTTATCTTTAATTATTAAAAGCAAATAATTAAAAGTATATACTTTAAAATAAAAAAAAACCACTGCACACCTGATTATCAGGAGGTTGTTTCCCTGCGAGAACATCATCAACATATTGAAGAACTTGATCCAACATTGTCGACAGTTTAATACTTGCGTCAGCAATTTTTGCCAAATCCATCATTGGTTCAACAGTACTACCGGGTTTCATTCCGGAAACATGAACTTGTGGTTGTAATTGGGTTTTTGCACAAAGTTGAAGACCTACAACTTCTGGCTCATAGGCTGTCATCTATCAAAATATCAAATAATTAATAATTAATAATTTTAAAAAATTAAAAAATTTTTACTTGAAATTTTTTTTTTTTTTAATTAAAAAACTGATAGTTAGAACCAATTAAGGTGGAATATAACTAATTTATATACATAAATTTTGTGCAAATTGAATTTTGGATAAATTGAAACTTAAATCAATTAAAATTCTGATAACTTGAAACTTAAATTAATTCAATTTAAAAAACCAAAGATCATTCGATTTGATTTTTTTTTGATAAATGAATAAAATTTTGAAAAACGAATAAAATATATTTATAATAAAGATTTAAAAAAAAATAATTTACCTGGACTTTTGCTGGTGTGAACATGCAACCTTGTTTACCATTTGGAACACCTAATTGTACACAAACATAAGCCCTTATTCCCATTCTTGTTATATTCTCCAATGTGGTATCGACAGTCAAATGAACTGGATTTTTACATTCTAGAGCGTAATACTCGTGAATAACTGACGAATGATTTGTCACCTGATTAATAAAAAATTAACAATTTGTGAAAATCTCAATTTACAGTCAATAATAATTTCTTAATTAAATCACTTGATAAATTTATATTTTATTAATCGCTGTTAAAAATTGAAATTAAAATTAAAATTATTACGTCGGTAAAGTTTACATCGTTTATAATTAATGATTAAAAATAAAAAATATTATTAACGCAGAAAACAATAAAACGTAAAAATTTTTTCAAACAAAAAAATTATAATAATTTCTATAGAAAATTATTTTTTCTTCTAAATCGTTGAACATAAACGTAAATTATTAATTAATTAATGAGATTTTATTTGTTTTTATTCATATTTTGTAAAATAAAATAAATAAAATTTACCTCATTTCCTGTAGCCCACCATCCGACAATATTTTCCTGTGCATTGACTTTGTGATTTAAATCATACAAGTCAATTGCATATTTCAATTCGGCTTCAACTTCTTCTTCATATTCTTTGTGTGGTACGCAAAAACAGTTAGTAACTTCAACAACTCCTTTTTCGCAAGTACCTAGAAAATAACATAAATTTAATTTTACAGGAAGAATCAATAAATATTCAAAATACAATATACATACAACTTTGAGGTTAGGTTGAAACATGCAACTTTTTAATGATAAATTTATGTTTCTAAATGAAAAACATAATTAATTAAGCCAATTAATAACGTTTTAAAATCAAAATAAGTTAAATAATTGTAATAAAACATAATTATAAACAATAAATGCGTGACATGTGGTCGTAGTTTCATCATATGAATTACGTATTATAAAGTGATATTAGTGTTGTTTGATTATTACATACCTAATAATGTACCAATAACTCTGTGGGATTCAGCACTTCGACGTTCATATGCATCTACTATTTGAAATAAAACCACTGGATGCACTTTTACAATCAGGTCGAGCGCCATTTTTGCGGTATGACAGGAGACAGGAAAAGCTATATCTATATATATTGTGTAAAAAGAGATATCGACATTTCCAACAGGAAATTCAACATTTTTAGCGCTAATTTCAAATTGATAATTATTAAAAAAAAGTTTGACAATTAAAAATATTAATTAGTTTTGTTATATTTTAAATATTACTTTGGTCTTTTAGACAATTTCAAGGCAAAGGGCAATTATAATTAAGTTATTTTTGAGAATAACTTGTAAACGCCTGCTTTATACTTTCTGCCATACACCACTGCATGACTGGTTTACTTCGAATCTATTATATTAAAGTTGGCAAGTCGATATACGTGCATTGAATTGAAACTTCTTACTCGGGGATTTTCGGGTTTGTTGATTGCAAATATATCATCAGATTTTCGAAATTCAAAATGGCGGATCTAAATGGCGGAATTTTATTAAATTCATCAAATTTGCTTATTGAAACTCGTTACTAAGGGATTTTTTCGAGGACAATGATTACGAATTTAATGTCATATTCGTAAAATTATTAACATTGAAGACCCATTGGGTAAAAAGTTTTTCTTAATTAATTTTTAAACATTCTTCGGCCATATTGGATAAGATGTTTGGAATGATGTCAAATTCGTAATCAGCGACCTCAAAAATCCCCGAGTAAAAAGTTGTAAAGAAGAATGGGGAAATTTATAATTTTTCTATTTTAAGTTACATACTATAGCAATTTTAACATTAAAAATTACAAAAAAGTAATTTTTAATAATTAACAATTGATTATTATTAAAAAGTATATTATATTGTTTGAGTAAAAGTTGCTAATAAATTTAATAAATTTTTTTGTAAAAGCAGAGCCGAATTTTTGTTATTGACTGTACGAATCTAGAACCTAAGAAAACGAAAGTAACTGCGAATATCGTGAAATAAATTTTTTAATTTATCGTGAATTTAGTTGCATATATATAAAACAAAAGTAATTAATAAGTAAAAATTTGACATATAATGCTAGAATTTCAATAAATTTATTTTTCTATATTTTAAAACAATTTATAACAAGCTGATATAATAATCGTAGCTTCTTTT